AAATTAGCCAGGCGAGGTCAGCCTCAGGAGGCTGAGGCAGGAGAATGGCGTGAACCCGGGAGGTGGAGCTTGCAGTGAGCCAAGATCTGCACTCCAGCTTGGGTGACAGAGTGAGAGACTCCGTCTCAAAAAAAAAAAAGCACCCTGGGAAACCGAAAGTTCCTTCACTGCCGAGTCCTCTGAGAACATAAATCATTTTGCCACATGGGCTTCTCTATATGCAAAGCTTTGGTTTGGGGGGAAAAGTAAATGTGTTCAGAAAGCTTGTACTAGATATTGTAACAAAACGATGAGACTTGTTTTACCTCACTGTGGTGGATTAAAGAGTGCCATTTTTATTTTTATTTTTTTCTGTGTCTTCTGTGAACAGGTATAATCTATTTTCTCTCTTTAAATTTGGGCTAGCCTTATTATTTGCTTTAACCAACAGAATGTGATAGAAGAGATGCTGTTCCGGTAACGGGATTGGGTCTTCGAAGCAGTTTATTTCTCCCTCGGAGTCCTGCGTCACCACCATAAAGAGACCTAAGTTATTCCTGTCTAGAGATGACATTGAGAGAAATGCCCAGTGCATTATCACCTGCCCTAATCACCCCAGCTAACACGTCACATATACAAGGTGAGGCCACGTGGACACTCTGTCTCAGTAGAACTTGCAGCTGAATGTAGCCACATGAGGAAAACGTCATACCACAGTGAAAGATGAGCTATGCCTGCCCCGCACTGCCCAAATCATGCAACTGTGAACAAATAAATGTGTTTTATAAACCACTCAATTTGGGGATGGTTTGTTACAAAACAGGTTAACAAATACACTTACCTGGGGGTATTCCCTGTCCTTGCACCAAATCAAGGACATGTTTGCTGGAATAGTCTTATCATCTTGGTGTCACAGGGACAGGGGGAATCACAGTTTAAGAAAACAGCACAGTATCTGTGATTTCTGATCATTTGTAAACTGAATTCTCACTAATGTTACCCTGGTAGATTTTTCACATGGGAAATTCGAGTTGCCTTCGTCATTTCAAGGAGATGTTTTGGCATTTGGTTATCTCCTGCAGGCACAAGAAATCATCTGGTGCTGAATTATGGATGAGATGTAATTGAAAGCCTTAGGAAGCACGGAGGCCATTCTGATAGAATGTTTGCCACAATCACTTGAGGTCAGGAGTTCGAGACCAGCCTGGCCAACATGGTGAAACTCCGTCTTTACTAAAAAATTAAAAAAAATTAGCCGGGTGTGGTGGCAGGCATGAGTAAACCCAGCTACTTGGGAGGCTGAGACAGGAGAATCGCTTGAACCTGGGAGACGGAGGTTGCAGTGAGCTGAGATTGCACCCCTGCACTCAAAAAAAAAAAAAAGAATTTTTGCCCACAGAAGTTTACATGTTTGAAGGTGGGTCTTGACATACGGAATAAGAATGTTTTCAAAATTTGTACACAAATTCTTGGCTCTACCTTTCTTCAAATGGTGGAACTTAGTTCACCACCTTGAGTACAGCCTGCCCTTAGTGACTCTCATTTCTAACAAATAGAATGTGGCAGAAAGGACAAAGTGTAACTTCTGAGACTAGGTCTAAAAGTGGCATGTGGCTTCCTCCTGGCTTTCTCTGGGATCATTAGTTCTGGATAAAACAAGTTACCCTGTTGTAAAGACATTCCAGCAGCTCTCTGGAGAGGCTCCTGTAGCAAAGAAGTGAACTCTCTCAGTAGCCACTGAGGAACTGAGGCTGCCTGTCAACAGCCTGCGGACTCAGCAAATCTTAGAAATGGATTGTCCAGACCCAGTGATGCCTTCAGATGACTGTAACCCAACAGTGTGCAGAAGGGTGGATTTTAAAAAAGAAAAAAAAAAAAAAAAAGAGCAACCAGGTGCAGTGGCTCACACCTGTACTCCCAGCACTTTGGCAGGCCGAGGTGGGCGGATCATCTGAGATCAGGAGTTCTAGACCAGCCTGGCCAACATGGTGAAACACCATCTCTATTAAAAACATAAAAAGTAGCTAGGTGAGGTGGCGTGTACCAGTAATCCCAGCTACTTGGGAGGCTGAGGGAGGAGAATAGCTTGAACCTGGGAGGCGGAGAGTGCAGTGAGCTGAGATCACGTCACTGCACTCCAGTCTGGGTGACAGGGTGAGACTGTCTCAAAAAAAAAAAAAAAATATATATATATATGACTGCAGCCCCAACAGTCACCTTGACCTTGATTATAACTTCATGAGAGACCCAGAAGTAGAAATGCAAAACTAGGCTGTTCCTGAGTGCCTGATCCACAGAAACTGAGATGTTTGATGTGTAAACCACTAAGTTTTGGGGTTACAAAGTGAAAACTATTGCATAACAACAGATAAAGCTTTGGGGAGAGACTAGTTTTTTGAGAGACGGAGTCTTGCTCTGTCACCAAAACTGAGTGCAATGGTGCAATCTCAGCTCACTGCAACCTCTGCCTCCCAGATTGAAGCAATTCTCCTGCCTCAGCTTTCCAAGTAACTGGGACTACAGGCATGCACCATCATGCCCAGCTAATTTTGGTATTTTTTTTAGTAGAAATGGGGTTTGGCCAGGCTAGGCTCAAACTCCTGTCCTTGAGTGATCCATCTGCCTCACTCTCCCAAAGTGCTGGGATTACACGTGTGAGTCACCACCCCCAGCATTGTATATAATTCTTAAGATAATATTTATGACTGACAGAAAATGACATATTCAATATTGTGACACGTGAAGTTTTCAATAAAAAAAAAATACATATATATTGGCCGGCCACGGTGATGTGGTGGCACACATCTGTGATCCCAGCTACTCTGGAGGCTGAGGCACGAGAATCACTTGAACTCAGGAGGTGGAGGTTTCAGTGAGCTGAGATCACACCACTGCACTGCAGTCTAGGCAACAGATGGAGACTTTATCTCAAAAACACCACCAACAAATATACATAACACAGTGTGTGTGTGTGTGTGTGACACACATATACTGCATTCCCAGAGGTTCTGGAAGTTAGAAACCAGGATGTATTTTCTACAGATTTAAACTATTCCCATTTATGAAACACTAATAACAAAATGTCCTCAAGAGCTTGTATTTTAATTTTAGTGATTCAACTAGTTACAAGTAACAGTTTTTTGTTTTTTTGAGATGAGTCTCACTCTGTTGCCCAGGCTAGAGTGCAGTGGCGCCATCTCAGCTCACTGCAAGCTCCGCCTCCCAGTTCACGCCATTCTCCTGCCTCAGCCTCCAGAGTAGCTGGGACTACAGGCACCCGCCACCACATGACCAGCTAATTTTTTGTATTTTTAGTAGAGACGGGGTTTCACCATGTTAGCTAGGATGGTCTTGATCTCTGGACCTCGTGATCCACCCACCTCAGCCTCCCAAAGTGCTGGGATTACAGGAATGAACAAATAACAGCTTTTAAAACAGAAGTAGTTTTCTCTAAGTTAGCTGTTATGGTTCAAATGCTGAAGTGTGCTAGCAGCTAAAATAAAGTCACCGGAGTAAGAAATAGGTTTCAAATTATCAGTTTATCACTTGCATGTTAAAAACAATAAAAATAAAGACTTGCTGACAAAAGAATTTTAGTTTTTATGTATTTGGACAGCTATCACTGAAATGTCCATTTTGACATATAAGATGCAGCAGGATATGGAAGACACCAAAACAAAGCACAAAAAGTCAAAATGTTCAAAGTCGTTTTCTTCCTTACTTTCTTCATTACTTATCACATTTTCCGGTAACTAATGGCAGTAGCTTAATAAGCTCCTATATTAACAATTCAGGTTTATGTCACACTTTTATTAAATAAATTTCAAAGTAACGAAGCTTTGCCTACATTAAAAAAATCAGTAGCAATTATAAAACAAGTCAACAGGTAGTTGTGCATCTAAATCTGATGTAATATTCAAAAAATAGAGAAATCCACCTGTGCTTTACTTGTATTCGGGGGAACATCAAGAGGACTCCATGACATACAGTTCTCCCATCTTACACTTCTTCAATCCCTTGGCACAGACCCGGGGTATTCCAGTGGCAAAGTACTACATCCATTACAGGCTACTTACTTAAAGGAAGACAGGCTACTTGCTCTTTTCCCCAGTAAGATGGCAGCCATAGGTCACTCAGTCCTTCACTCTCCCCTGACCTTCTATAACCTCGGTTTAATCGTAAGGTATGCTCTTTAAATCCATCGTCCATCTACACACATACTATGTTGAAGCATGTTAACAACGACAACTATGACAGTGTAACATTTACTAATATGAAGAAAAGGGCAAGTAGTCATAACTGAACGAACATAAATGTCAAATTATGCAAATGTCAATTTGAGTGAGATCACTATTTTTGAATTCCAAGATGTTTAATGTAAACTGTTTTTATAAAAACTAATTATGAAACACAAAGACAATAGAAATATAAGTTATTTATTAATCAATCCACTTACAAAGCAGGTGGCTTAATGCAAGCTTATTGACATCTTCACATATGATCCATGGGAACATGTCCTCCACATACAGACAGTGATATTACTGACTGGATGCATTTGCAATCTGGGGCATATTAAGCATATTTAAACAAATAAAATTAGGCTATCCTGTATATGAAAGTATCTTGATAATAATATGCATCCTGAAGTAGATTAAAACTTCCTCCAAAGGAGAAATGTTAGTATGTTAACTTAACTTTATATTCTATATTATGCAGTAAATCTTAACTATAGAAATTAAAAATTTTAAATCAGTGATCGACTCTTGGTAATGTATGAAGTGGGAGTATGTAACCATAGCAACAGTAGGTTGACAGTATAATTTGTGCCTCACAGTATCTGCAGATTTACTGTTTTCAAGTTTAGAGAGAAATAAAACAAGAGACATGTAGATTCAGCTGACTTTATTTATCTTTAAACTAATAAAAATCCCTTAAAAGTGATCCTGGGACCTTTAGAAGTTCTATGAATGCACAGATACCTGCCAATGACTTAAATTCCAAATCTTGCCTTAATGTGTCTACAAAATCACTGTAAGCAGATATCTTAACTTTTCGTGCTTAGCAGAAGACAACAAATTCTACATGTCTTTTTCAATTTCCCTAAAATTTTGTTAAATCTGCAAGTATGTACAATCTAGCTAATTGAAATTAATATTTAGTGTTCATCAGAGCTGTTTCACAGCAGCAAAAACTGAATCAGGGAAATAAAATTCTAAATGATGTAGGAAAAAGATAAATGCAATCAGAACAGCAGTCTAAATGTATGATATCAATATTCAACTCTTATCTGCACTGTGTTGAAAGGAAAAGGATACACCAAGAAAATTTATACTGATCACTCTGGTGATGTGACTACCACCTGCATCTGATTTAATATGGGTTGTATTCTGTTCCCAGTATTAAGGATGGTATTTAACTCAGAACTCCATATAGTAAATATACAGCAGCCATTTTGTCCTAATTAAGGAATGTCTTAATACACAATATTATCATTTTCTAGAGGATCTTTATACATTAAACTAAAGTACATGATTGATTAAATTAAAGGTTAGTAATGGATAAAAAATTCATAATTATCTAGGCTTGGTACTATGTAAAAAACAAAAAGACCACAAAATTCTACTTACTAAAGCAGCTAATCTTGCCTGCAAGTTTAGGGTCACAAGCCCATAATATGTGCAAAGAAATGCAATACAAGGAACCATGCAAAAATACAGTAAAATGATACAGAAAAATGTCAAATCTAGAAAAAAAAGCTTTTATAAATACATGAAAATCAACTGTATACATAAACTGTAGGTCTAGCATTAGTTGTACCATATAGCAGAGCCAGCACTCTAAGTTCAATGCTTCCAAATCTGCGCAGGTAAGTCATGCCATCTTTGGTTGACTGCAGTACCAGGAAGGATGGGAATGAGAGGGAGGGCAAGAGTTCTGAAACATGGTGTCAACTTTCACTTGGGAGCTGGGCCTCAATGTCCACTCTGCATATGGGGCACTTCTTATTGGTGATCAACCATTGGTCAACACACACTTGGTGGAAAAGGTGCATACATGGAAGACGTCTATTATTGGCAAGAAAACAAAAAGCAAAAATTAATTTTATGATAATTGCACATGGTAAACAAATTATATATGTAATAATTCAATAATGTTTTGAAGTTACTAAGCATCTTTCTCTTCTATAAAAGACACAGATTAAATTAGCACTCTGGGCAATATAATATATAAATGATCAAGATAATTAACTTTCAAAGCTACAGGATCATATTATATAAAATCTTAAAAATTGTAAGAACACAAATTACACTGGCAATTATTCCAGTTTTGTTTTGGTACAGGAGATGCCAATGCTCTGGAGTTAGTAGTATGTTACCTGTCACATAATATTGCAAATATATTTTTAAATATCAAATCATCACTGCATTTGTAATGCCCTTTAAAAATACATATTATCTCAAATATATATTTATTACCTCATTTAATTCTCTCTCAAAAACATTAGCATTCATGTGGCAAATATATAGTAACCACAATTTCCTCACTAAGAAATGTCTTAGTATAATCTTTATACATAAAGTTAAGTACATAACTGATTAAAAGTGAGTAATATTGTTTTCATGGAATAATTGTTATATACACTTAATACTGTGCTACTGTTTAACAGGTAGGTTAAAAGGAGATGTAATGATTTTAGTTTGTTTACATCATGCCAAATTACCAATCAGAAATTGAGAAATAAAGCCTCCAAGCAAGATAGGGTAACATTAATTCTGAGTGTTAACAGTGGGATAAAAGTTACTGACTTGTGTCCATTTCCACTTCTAGCCACCGTTAAAGAGTTTTTATACACTTTTCAGACTTCCTAATATCTTCTTAAAATAGTAGCTTTAAACAGTTTCTCAATTATTCCTTGAACAGTATTGTCAATACTGTAAAAGCATTAAGTTCCAAATTTATAAACCTTCATTAGAAATATCGTGTGCAAATAAACTTGTCATATGGTAGACAATAATTTTTTTCTCAGCCAACTGAAGAGGTATGACAAAATTATCCTTATAAATTAGGGCAATAATATTACTACATGGTTCTGTTATATATGATATCGAACCTGTTTCATATGGCATTATGTTAACATTAAAAAAAAGAACAGGAAGAAAACAATTACTTAAGTGATTATACAAATAAAATGCCTAAAATTAATATTAGGGTTAACATACTAACATTTTCTAAACAACAAAAGTGCAAGAAGGGAACAGTCCTACGAGTGTAGAGGAAATTTTAGGACAAAACCAGTTTATAAAAGACGCTATAGCCAAGTGCCGTAGCTTATGCCTGTAATCCCAGCACTTTGGGAGGCTGAGGCAGGTGGATCGCTTCAGCTCAGGAGGTGGAGGTTGCAGTGAGCTGAGATTGCTCCCCTGCACTCCAGCCTGGGCAACAGGAAGAGACCATCTCCCAGAAAAGAAAAAAAAAAAAGATGCTGTAAAACAAACCGCATGAGGCTAATCTGGATCCGTTTCAAGTTTTGAAGAACACATTATAACTTTCTAGGACCTCCAAAACCTCTCAAATTCTCATTTCTGCAAGATTTACAGAAGACAATTTTGACTACAAAATTTCCCTGGCCAAACCCTGTGTGGCCCTAAAATAGGTAGTACATTTCCCACTCCCACATTGGTAACATCGAGACTTTAATCTTTTATTGTTTCACTCACTAGATGAAGCCAGTTCTACCAGTACATAACTGATTAAAGGTGAATAATATTGTTTTCATGGAATAATTGTTATATATACCTAATATTGTATACTAAGGGCTCTTATGGAGAGACTGGTAACAGTATATGCCAAGAATAATCTTTATTTGGTTTCCAGTTTACTTTTATCCTGTTTTTCAGAGACAGGGTCTCACTCTATTGCCCAAGCTGGAGTGCAGTGTGGTGTGCTCAAAGCTCAACTGCAGCCTCAAACTCCTAGGCTTGAGTCATCCTCTTGCCTTAGCCTCCTGAGTAGCTGGGACTGCAGGTGCACACCATCACATGCAAATAATTGTACTATTTTTCTTTTTTGTAGAAACAGAGTCTTGTTATGTTGCCCAGGTTGGCCTCGAACTCCTGGTCTCAAGAGAGCCTCTGGCCTTGGCCTCAAAAAGTGCTGGGATTACAGGTGTGAGCCATCATGCCTGGTGTAATTTACTTTTCAAATAAAATCCCATGTACAGTTTTGACAATGGATTTTAGATAATTTATTTCTAGTTACCTCACATCTTCACCTTCCTCTAAAATAGACAAACAGATAGTACATTTTTCCTCTGTGTCTTCCTCAGTCCCTTCTTCCCCATCTTGTTTGCAGTGCAGTTTCCTCTGTGAGAACCAATCAGTTGTTACCTTATTAGTAGAGATGACATTATTGAACAACTGAGTAAAGTCTGTGTTTATTTGAGAAACAAAACAAAACAAAACAAAACCACATATTCGCCCGCACTTTTTTCCCAGGTAAGACTGTCATAAATAAATGGATGAATTAAGTGACTATCATCAATTAAGTATATTTTTAAGACCCTCTAATAATTGGGATCAAAAGCAAAATTTAACAGAAACTCATTCACTTGAAAGCTATTACTTTTAATCCACAATGAGAATGATAAACAAACTAAACTCTTTTTACCCTACCATGAGCATAGATAAGTAAGTTTTATTTTACTAGTGAATGTTTCAAATAACATCCATTTAAATTAACATTAGTTACAGTACTTAGCTTGGACAGTTGAAGACTTGAATGTACTGGTAATACCTCAATACTCTTTGAAAATAGATGAAAAATACAAAGAATCGTAATTTTCACACTTTATGATTATTCTCTACATAGTATAAAAGAGTCTCCGACCCCTGGGCTGCAAACCAGTACCCGGGTGCACAGCAGGAGGTGAGTGGCAGGTGAGCAAGCATCACTGCAGGAGCTCTGCATCCTGTCAGATCAGCGGCAGTGTTAGATTCTCTTACAACCTGTTGTAAACTGCGCATGTGAGGGATATAGGTTGCGTGCTCTTTAGGAGAATCTAATGCCTGATGATTTGAGGTGGAATAGTTTCATTCTGAAACTATCCCCTCTGCCACCTATCCACGAAAAATTGTCTTCCATGGAAACTGGTATCTGGTGCCAAAAAGGTTGGGGACTGTTGGTATTCAGCACTGTTTGCTTTAAGACACGTATTTAACACGTCTACTCTGTAACAATGCTATATAAGCAACTGAGGGTAGAGTAGAAGAAATACACATCAATAAAATGTCCATCAAAATAAACTGCTAGTTAAAAAAATTACAGTACTGCCAAATGATGGAATTCTGTATAAGCTATTAAAAATAATAAGGATGATCAGATGGCATGAAAGGCAATCTGCAAACTATGTGGTTCCCATCTCCTTTTTTTTTTTTAAGTAGACAAAAAATATATATACATATGTACCTTATTAGAAAATGCTAAAAAGTATCTGGAAGAATATCTAAATCCTTAACTATGATTTCACTTCTGGGAAGAAGGACTAGGGTCTGCAGAGTAAGAAACTGCAGAGTATATATTTTTTATACTTTCCAAAATTTTTAAACAATATGTATGTATTACTTCAATTAAAATGTCATTGCTAGAATCCACAAATTCAAAGAAGGCATATATCACATTTATGCATTTCAGTAACACTCTAGAAGCTTCATTGAATAAATTCTTACCTTCTTATATTTATGTGGATATGTACATCTTTCAATTGTCCCCTGGGATGCTCCACGATTGACATTTCCTAATCTTTCTTCCAAATGAATCAGTTCCTGAAAGTGAAGAATAGTGAGTGGTAAAAGCCAAGATGATTATTCCTTGAACAGTATTGTCAACATTGTAAGAGAAATAAATTTCCATACTTAGAAACTTGCAATATAAATACAGTGTTCAAAAAAACTTACATATGACAACTGGTTATTTATATACTTATATTTAAGTATATATATAAAAGTTTATATGTTGTCCAGGCTGGTCTCAAACTCCTGGCTTCAAGTGATCCTCCCACATCGGCCTCCCAAAGTGCTGAGATTGCAGGTGTGAGCCACCATGCCTGGCTTAATGTTTCTCATACACAGTAAGGCAAATGGTTGTTTATAATGTTTTCCTCAGCCAACTGAAATGGTACAGCAAAAGTTATCTTTATAAATTACAACAATGTTACCACATGGTACTACATGAGTCAGTATGTATGTATGCATGGAGAAGATGAAATCATTCTAGTAAATTAAGGAACCAAATCAACAATAGTTCTAAGTCACACTGACTCCAACTTCCAAACTGACATAAAAAAAACACAACAGGGGCCGGGTGCAGTGGCTTGCACCTGTAATCCCAGTACTTTGGGAGGCCAAGGTGGGTGGATCACTTGCGGTCAGGAGTTCGAGAGCAGCCTGGCCAACCTGGCGAAACCCTGTCTCTACTAAAAACACAAAAATTAGCCGGCTGTGGTGGCGGGCGCCTGTAATCCCAGCTACTCAGGAGGCTGAGGCAGGAGAATTGCCTGAACCCAGAAGGCAGAGGTTGCAGTGAGCTGAGATTGCGCAACTCACTTCAGTCTGGGTGACAGAGCAAGACTCCATCTAAAAAAAAACCAAACAAACAACAAACAAAAAAACCCACAACCAAACTTTAAATCACATTTGAATGATTTGTTCTTCCTGAAAATTCAAACAAGACATTTAGCTACAAAGGGAATTACTTAGGTTTTTTTTTCTCTACCAATTTCTCTAAAAATTTAGCTGAGTCAAAAACATTAGGTTCCCTATCACATTTAATGGTATAGTTATTTATCTGACATTTATATTAATACATTTTTATATTCTTCTATATTATTTTCATTGACTCATCTTTAAATACTTGGGTAACTTTTGACCCTAAGATTAATATTACTTACAAATATTTCTGTAACTCCCAGAAGCAACATCAGAAAATCACATATTTTACTGCCTTGTGATTCCCAGTCACTGTAGCAGTCCTACACAATTGTGTATAATAGTGTATATATCCTCTCTCTGCATTAAAGATACTACAACAAACATATTCATTTATTTTATTACATACCTCAAAATTGCCCCTGAAAGGACCTCTGAATGATGTTCCATCCAATCCTGATGAAATGTAACGGATATGAGGATAACCTGCCATATCAGGAACCTATTTCAACAGAAGAGATAGGCTAAATCAATTAAGAATAGACTTGTGATTTACTGTTAACATTGAATAATTCAAGACCTTCAATGTTTTCAATTCAACTGCTCATAAAATTCAACTTCAATAAGAATACATAACTCCAACTAAGCATTCTGTAACAGGTTTATAACCTTAAAGTATAACCTAACTCTCCAAAATGCCCAAATTAAGCCTGATGCTCTTAGTAGCTCAAACTTGAAAAGAGTAAAATTGTCTTAAGATCCTGTAAATTTCAGAGAGCTTTGTTAAAACAACAACAAAAAATGTACACAATTTTCCAACAAAATTTCACTTCAAGATAAGTTTTTTACTTCACTTCTGTTAAGCTTCCTAACAGCCAAAGTACCCTATGCCTTTTTTGCTTGATTGTATTAGGGAAAGTTTTAACACTGTTTTCTAATTTTTTGTTAGGTGTAGTCACTCTTCATTATTTATGGATTATGTATGTGTCAACTGACCCACAGGCTAAAATTTACTTGTAACCCCATAATCAATACTTGTGCTTTCAGAGTCATTTGTGGATATGCCTGGAGGCAAAAAATTGGAGTTGCCCAACATGCAACTCTGTTCTCAGCTGAGGTAGAACAGGGCTCTGCCGTATTTGAGCCCCTACTATAAACCAGTGTCTTGTTTGCAGTCTGTTTAGTGCCATGTTTTTCAGTTTTGTACATTTTGTTGGTAACTGTGTTGTTTAAAATGGCACCCAAGCATAAAGCTGAAGTGCTGTCTAGTGTTCCTAAGCAAAGAAGGCTGTGATACACCTTATGGAGAGAATACGTTTCATTCAGGTATGAGTTACAGTGTTGTTGGCTATAAGTTCAATGTTGACGATTCTACAATATTTTTTAAAGTTGTCTTTAAGCAGAAACAGGCATAAAAAAAGGTTATACACTGATTAGTTGTGAACAGAGGCTTGCAAGGGTCCCATATTTGCTAACTCAGTGTTTGCAGTAACTGTATAGATCATAACTGCCATGCATATTGAGAGTATTAGGAAAGGGCAATTCTGAGATACAGCACCATTCTTCCATCTTTAAAAATAAATCTCCAACACTACTTTTTAATTAGCCTACAATGAATCACAACATACTTTAAGCAGAATTTATAGCTTTAACAGACACTTCGTAAGTGGAAAACAATTTAAAATAAGTAAGCAATAACTTTTAACCTTCAATAGTGTATTACTTAAATTATTTACAACTTCTCTTATAACCAAGATCATTACTACTCAGCAGATAACCCAACCTCCTAAACATCTCCAAAGAAATCAGAAAGGAAATCCTGCATCCCAAATTATCTAAATCTTCACTTACCCTGAAAAGCCTCTCCTCCCTAGTCTCGTTCCTCCAGCCTTTATGGATAAGCTTTTCTCCTATTCAACTTCAATCCTCACCACCTGCTCCTGCCTTCACCTGTTCACCCTGGGTCATGCTTACTTAACTACTCCCCACCAAGCCTCCCTTCAATATCTTCAAACAATTCCTCTCTAATGGTTTTCTGTCTTAAACCTAAAAATACCTTAAGTTTCTCCAAACCTAAATTCTCTACTAATCCTGGAATTATTGCCAACCAAACAGGGCTTTCCTTCACTTTCTATTCACAGCCAAGCTTATAAAGCAAGAAGTCTATATTCACTGTCTCCATGTTTTCACTTCCTTACCGTCCGTAACCTAAGTGGTGCCCCATCTACATCACTCACCATTACTGAACCATTCTGACACAAAAGACCAATAACCATTCTAATGCCAAATGCATGAAGACAATGAGGATGGAGACCTTTATAATGATCCACTTTCACTTAATGAAGAGTAAATATATTTTCCCCTCCTTATAATTTTCTTAACATTTTTTCTCTACTTTATTGTAAACTATCACTATCTATTGTAGATTATCAAGTACGTATAACATACAAAATATGTGTTGATCAACTGTTTATTTTAGCAGTAAGGCTTCCGATCAACAATAGACTATTAGCAGTTAAGGTTTTAGGAACTCAAAAGTTATACTCTGATTTTCAACTGTGAGGAGGGTCAGCACCCCAACCTCCACATTGTTCAAGGGTACTTTACTTTCGGATATTTCAAGGGTACTGTACTTTCTGATATTATTTTGTTTCTCAACTTTTCAAGCCAGTTCTCAGAATCCTTTGTGCGAGGCATAGTATTATCATTTAAATACAGTATTGTCCTTCTCTAAGGTTTTTTCACCCTCTTGTCACTCTGCACATTTTTCCTGAAAACCTAATCCTCTTCCATGGATTCATTACCTCCATATACTGAGAGATCAAAACATATCTTTAACCCAAATATCTTTGGAAATCCAGACCATAAGCTTAACTTCCTATTGGACATTCAACTTTGATTTAGATTTAGTACATCCAAGACCTAATTCACCTAGCCCCTTCACCCAAACCCTGAATATCTCTCAAATGTGTCTCATCATTTTTACGCCAACTACGATTGCTTTCATTCAGGCATTCATCAATATTTACCTCTTCTACTATAATGTCCTACCTGGTTTCCCACATTTAAATCTATTTTTCCACATAACTGAGGAGGTGATCTAACTATAATCTGATTAAATGACTCTAAAATCATAAATCTGATCAGGACATTTCCCCTTCAATGGTTTTTGAGTTCCAATTTCTTGGTAGAACAGTTTTATTTCTCACTGCTGCCTGACCTCACTCCTAAAATGAGAAACACCAGCTTACTTGGAGTTCCCAGTGCTTGTGCTATTTGCTACAACTTTACATGCTGTAACCTCTGCAAGAGCACCATTCCAAAATCCAGTCTGCTTGGAAGTCACATGTACCAGAAAGCTTCTCTGAAAGCTTCCCTGCAGTGCCTCTACCCACAACAACACAAAACTATTCCCTTTTCTGTACCACTTATATAAGAAGTATGTAATACAAATAGCAAACGCAATGTATGTTTTGTTGAACTTGTTCTTTAGCACTTACTTTACAAAATCTGAACCTGCTTAAATCAGATGTAAAGAATTAGTATAATCTTTCTGCAGATTAGAAAATCAGGCTGGGTGCCCTGGCTCAAGCCTGTAATCCCAGCACTTTGGGAGGCCGTGGTGGGCAGATGACTTGAGGTCAGGAGTTTGAGACCAGCCTGGCCAAATGGTGAAACCCCATCTCTATTAAAAATACAAAAATTAGCCAGGCATACTGGCATGTGCCTGTAATCCCAGCTACTTGGGAGGCTGAGGCAGGACAATCACTTGAACCCAGGAGGTGGAGGTTGCAGTGAGCTGAGATCATACTACTGTACTCCAGCCTAGGTGACAGATTGAGACTCTGATGAAAAACAAAAAAAAAAAAAAAAAAGAAGAGAGAAAAAAGAAACGTATGACTGCATCAGAATGGATCTATTACCACTTATGGCAAAATAACTGAAGCACAGTATTCTCCTGACAGTGGATTAAGAGTGCCTTGGTATACAAAAAAAATCCCACACTTTTCTGTCATTTCGTACATTAAGAGTACATTTTATGATGCAAATTATACACACAGATTTTAATACATCTAATACCTTTTTATAGCACAATTTTTAGCTAACAAGATTACTCTCAAATTCTATTAAAACACCTATAACTAATATAGTAAAATATTTCCAATAAAATATTTAGAAAATGAACTTTTAGAACATGTCAAAATTTTGAAAAGTTTCCATTTTACCATTAAAGGAAGAGCTCCTAATTGTAAGTGATGAAGTCGAGGAGGTGCGTGATAATGGGCCAAATGAGGATGCAATGCACCAGGTGTGTAAGTAGCTGCAGTCACTCCAGCTTCAATTCCCAGTTCCCTGACAAAAGGATGAGAACAGTTTAATCCTCCTTAGGGTTTCTTTTTTTATCAACAGACATGGGGAGTTATGTTTACACTTAAAAAAGTAATCTAAGGTTTCTTAACTTACAAAGCTGAGGAAAGATAAGTTAGCCCAAAATATTTAACTAATAATTTCAAATTTATTTTAGAACTGAAAACTCAAAAAACTTAAATTTTGTGATAATGAGGAGCAAAGCATTTGTACTTGGTTTCACATCTTACAAAGGAAGGAAACATATGGCTACAAAGGTCCCTTCCAAGTTAAAAGCCTGATTCTACTTGAGGAGCATACAACACAGAATTTACTTTTTTGGTGTATCTGAATGTTACAGATGTTTTCTGGGTTTTTGTTTGTTAGATATCATCTCTTGGTTGTTGACATTAAGGACAATTAGAATAGCAAACTCTTCTACACCTTATAAAAGAAGGGCAAACAAAATTTTAGAAGGGGTAAAACTGTTAAATGCTAAATCTTCATTTATTTATTCTTATTTTATGTTCTGCCTCAAATTCATTGTGGTTCAAGATCTCAATGAATGCCCACACACAATGGATTCAGAAAAAAAATTTAATGAAAATCTGCCCTCATTTATCAAGGAAAGACCACAAAAAATTGGAATGAAGGCTGAATTTCCCTTGTCAATGGCAGGTGAGGGTGGTGGAGCAAATCGGAGTACAAAGGTGGGGGTCAGATAAAGAAGATGTGAAAAGTAGGATCAGTCTAGGGAGTTAACTTTGGTGGTACCTCTGAAAAACAGGAAAAAAGGTCCACTCCTCTTACTTACATGGGAACTCTAAAAAACCTAAACTCACAGGAGAGAGTAGCATGTTGTTTACCAGAGGCTGGGGAGGTGGTGGGGGGTCGTGGATGAGGAAAGGGGAGATGCTGGTCAATGTGTACAAAGCTTCAGCTAGGAGGTGTAAGTTCTGATATTCTACTGTACAGCATGGTGACTACAGTGAAGAATAATGTACCGTATATTTCAAAACTGCCACAAGAGAAGATTTTAAATCTTCTCACCATAAAGAAATGATCAATATTTGAGGTGATAAATATGCCATTAGCCTGATTTGATCACTCCACAATGTACACATGTATTGAAATATTATGTTGTACCTCCAAAATATATACAATTATTATTTGTCAATACACATAAAATAACACCCAAAAAAAAATGTTCTACTCCTGCTTGATATGGTTCCCTGCCGCAGCTCCTATTCTTTCCTCTCCAAACCACTATCTGCCCAGAGGCAGTGTCTCACAGTTAAACTGGGGATTAGGTTTCTCCACATCACCCTTCTGCAAAGCAATCAATCACAAGGCATCTCTTCCAATAGTTTTGCCACAAGCTGTGAAGCATTGTTTTGAAATTAAACAAGATACTGACCAGGCAGACCTCTCTGGAGCCTGTCGAGGATGTGAGGACATAGTCTGAGGCACATGAATATGATGCCCATGACCATAGTTTGGGTGCATCCTATGTGGATGGGGTGGGGGGCGTTCATGTGCCCGCCTGGAAACACAGAACACAAAAAGACCACTGGAAATAATTGAATAATTGGTTATTTCTTTTCTTAATGCAGAAAAAACCCCTAGTATAAATACTATAAACATCTACAGTCATAAAATAAATTTTATAACAATACCTTATAAAAATATATAAAATTATTTAATTATTAAGAAATCAAGAAACCATCACCTCCTCCACAAATTCTAATTGTTCATTTATTCTAGTGCTTCCAATTCAAATATCATACAAGGAAAAAGGTAATTTTAACATTATCTTGTACACTTTCTTTACAAGAGATATTTTAAATAGGAGAATAGGAATAGAAATAAAATTTTTAAAAATTAAATACCCCAGGCAAACATTGCAGGCACAAATAAATTATTTTATATAAACATTAAAGCAGGACAAACTGAAACCTTAATTTTGCTTCATTTACTCTTATATTGCAAAGACATTCAACTATTTTAATGGATGAAAGTTTAAGAGAAAAAAATGTTAACCTTATGCATTTTTTTTTCAAAACACATATAATGAGTGTTAACACACCTAGGAAACTTATATTTAGCTCCAATCATACCTTTTTTTTTTTTTTTTTTTGCGAGGAAGTCTAGCTCTGTCACCAGGCTGGAGTGCAGTGGCAATCTGGGCTCACTGCAACCTCTGCCTCCCAGGTTCAAGGGATTCTCCTGCCTCAGCCTCCTGAGTAGCTGGGCCTATAGGTGCGTGCCACCACACCCAGCTAATTTTTGTATTTTTAGTAGAGGTGGGGTTTCACCATGTTGGCCGGGCTGGTCTCATCTCTTGACCTTGTGATCCGCTCACCTCAGCCTCCCAAAGTGCTGGGATTACAGGCGAGAGCCACCGCACCCAACCTCCATTCATACTTTTTATTCTGCATCCCAGTTTACTATAATTTCTCTTCCTAAAGTCAGTTAACAAAAGACACTAAAACCAACTTAGTTTCAGGGATTCACTTTTTGTTTGTTTATTTATTTATTTATTTTAAGAGGCAGAATCTTGCTCCCGGATAGCTCAGTGTAACCGTGAACTCCTGGGCTTAAGTGAGCCTCCCACCTCAGCCACCTGAGTAGCTAGGATTACAGATGTGTGACACCATGCCCAGCTAAGATTCATTTTTATAGTCTAATTATTTTATATTAGTTTTTAACACATTTGCAGATTTTGCATGTTTATTCTAAACAACATTTTGCCAGTTACTGGAGGATAAGACTCTTAAACTGGCAATTTTCTACACAAAAGGCAGCAACACCCAGAGATTTGGGATATAATCTTAAATGACAAAACTAAAGCAAAAAGTTACACAAGAGCTGGATCATTAATTAGATCAAGAGTTTGGAAAACAGGTTATGTGAAGGATAAAACAGGAAATTTTTTCAGCTCTACAGGCCATACGTTCTCTGTTGTAACTACTCAGTCTTTGTAGTGTGGAAACAGCCACAAACAACAGACACTTTTTCAGTTTGTTTGTAACTGAAAAACTGCAGCTGTTTTCCAATAAAATTTTGTTTACAAAAATCAGTAAGCAGAATTAGACCAATAGAGTTTGCTGCTCTGAATATGAAAATCAGATCCCGAATACTCAAAAGAAAAAAAAAATTTCATAAATTTGAAGTACAGTATTTTTCATAAATTTGAAGTACAGTATTTTCACTGTCAGGTTTTGAAAATTCTATTAATACTTTTCTTCCCTCTGGTTAGTAACATTCAAATCTTTGATATCTTTAGATCTTGTTCCTCAGAATCATCAATTTTAACACTGATTTTTACTATGCGATATTGCAGAAACAGACAAAATATTAGTTCGCATCAGACTAGTCTGGATATTTATTAAAATTGGTTTGCATAAAGAAATTACCCTGGGTCACATGGTAAAACTGGTCAGATTTTACTAAATAATCTGGTATAAACTTGCTTTTTCAACACATACAATTTAGGAAAAGGCAGGGGAAGATTCTGGTTAGCAAAGAATCAATTTCTTATTGATTTAATATAAGGATTTAGTATAGTTACTTTTTTGGGGAGAGAGGGAGAGACAGGGTCTTGCTATGTCACCCAGGCTGCAGTGCAGTGGCATGATCATGGGAGGATCATTTAAGCACAGGAGTTCAAGGACACAGTGAACTATGGTCACACCACTGCACTCCAGCCTTGACCCCCTGGACTCAGGCGATCCTCTCATCTCAGCTTACCGAGTAGCTGAGACCACAGTAGTATGCCACTACGCCCAGCTACTTTCTTTTTTTTGTAGAGACGAGGTCTCCTTATGCCCAAGCTGGTCTCAAACTCCTGGGCTCATGTGATCCTCCTGCCTTGCCCTCCCAAAGTGTTGGAATTACAGGTGTGAGTCACTGCAGCCACCTATCTTTTGTTTTCTATTGTTGTTAAAGGAGACAAGGTCTTGCTCTATCACCTAAGCTACAGTGCAGTGACACAGTCATAGCTCAGCTCTGACCTGCTGGGCTCAAATTATCCTCCTGCCTCAGCCTCCTGAGCAACTGGGGATTACAGGCATGAGCCTCACCAACTTATAGTTACAAGTTACATTATTTCTAAAGACTTCGTGGTGTTTTTTTTTTTTTTGGTTGTTGTTGTTGTTTGTTCTTTTTTAAAAAAAAGAAAACAACAACAAAAAAAAACAGTATTTTACTGTGTTGCCCACATGGACTCAAACTCCTGGGCTCAAGCAACCTTCCTGGCTCAGCCTCCCAAGCAGCTGTGACTACAAGTGCATGCCACCATGCCTAGTTAGATTTCAGAGTTGTAAAGACCAATGGAAGTAGAAGAAAAAGCAAGCTTGACTTTCTTTTTAAAAATGTAAAACATACGTTGGATGCTGCATCATCCTCCTCCTTTGAACTTCCATCCTCTGCATCACTTCATGAGGATGCAGTCGCTGTGCTGGAGGTGCGGTGGCTGGAATATGGTGCGATATTGGCTGGTGTGTAGGAGGAAGATGCTGAGGGATTGGTGCAGCTGTACTGGCTAAGTGAGTTGGTGGTGGGGGTGCCACAGGATGAGATGTTGCATGAGAAGATATTTGAGAATGGAAAGCATGTACGGGATGAGGAATAACATAATCCACTTGAGGTGGAGGCTGAGTCTGAGGAGGGGGATTTCCATGAGAATGCGGGCAGGCAGAAGCTTGATGATGAAGTGGCCTTGTCAAAGAGGCATCTGCAAGAAAAATATTTCAAGTATGTTACACAGGCACCATGCAGTTGAACATATATTGCTATTATACATTCCTATTGTACTTTTAAAGATATTAGTAGATATTTTTATGAATACTTTATCAAGTATTCAAGCAACTGCTCAAGCAACTTGCTCTCTTCTTAGAATAATCTTGGATATCTTATGTCAATATATATTATAATTTAACTTCACTCACAGTTTCACAACATTCTATTATATGAATATACCAAAATGTACTGACAAAATCCCCACTGATAAAAAAGAAACCCAAATGCTATGATAAATATCTGTGTATGTGGTCCCTCCTGCACTCACTCTTTCATTTATATACATGTATACACACATACATAGAGATCATTTCTGTAGCATAAATTGCTGTAAGTAGTTGTGGGACAGAAAGAAAAAAATAAATTTAGATGCCAGTTGATAAAATACCCTTTCCAAAAGGTTGCCATAATTAATATTTCCATCAAGAGTACACAGGAAGGGCCGGGCACGGTGGCTCACACCTGTAATCCCAGCATTTTGGGAAGCCAAGGTGGGCAGAATCACCTGAAGCCAGGAGTTCAAGATCATCCTGGCCAACATGGCGAAGGCCCGTCTCTACTAAAAATACAAAAATTAGCTGAGCGTGGTGATGCACACCTGTAATCCCAGCTACTCAGGAGGCCGAGGCAGGAGAATTGCTTGAATCTAGGAGGTAGAGGTTGCAGTGAGCCGAGAACATGCCACTGCACCCCAGCCTGGGCAACAGAGTGAGATTCTATCTCAAAAAAAAAAAAAAATAGGAGTACACATGAAGGCCTGATTACCCCCACACTACCACTAAATTTTTTTTTTTGAGATGGAGTTTCACTCTTGTTGCCCAGGCTGGAGTGCAATGGTGCAATCTCGGCTCAGTGCAACCTCCGCCTCCCAGGTTCAAGCGATTCTCCTCAGCCTCCCAAGTAGCTGGAATTATAGGGATGCGCCACCATCCCTATACAAAATTTTTTTTGTATTTTAGTAGAGATGGGGTTTCTCTATGTTGGTCAGGCTGGTCTCAAACTTCTGACCTCAGGTGATCCGCCCGCCTTGGCCTCCCAAAGTGCTGGGATTACAGGCCGGAGCTACTGCGCCCAGCTCACTATCACTAAATTTTTAAAATAAATGCCAATCTGAGAAAAATCTTTTATTTCTTGACCACTTGTATTTCTTCTCAGAATTATCTATTTACATGCTTAGCCTATTGTATTATTCACCTTCTTCTTATTGACTTGTAAGTATTCTTTGCATATATGGAAGCTCTGTCATAATAGGTGTAAACATTTTTCCAAACTGTCTCTCTCTCTCTCTCTCCCTACCCCATGTTATCATCCCTGTGCTACATTAAGATGAAGGAGGCATATTTGTTTCCCAATAAATATGGACATAAAGTCCTTAATAAGATGGTTCCTCGCATTTCTTCATTCTACATCTTTATGTTTCAAAGTGACTGTTGAAAAATCCCTCTGAGGAATACACATCTTCCTTACTCTTAGAGATGTGCATCTACTTGACATGTTAAAAAAAAAAAAAAAAAAAAAAAAGTTTGTTTCCTTAGATTTCAATCCAAATTTCATTTTATTGGAAGATGTTCCTGGAAGTCTGATATACAGCAACAGCCATTCTCTAGTTTCATTACAGAAGAGTTTTCAATTTTTAATGCTTTTGATTCATTCAGCAAGGGCAGAAGTTAGGTAACCACAACTCAACTGTATTTTTAAAGTATGCCTTGTTTGTATGTACTTAAAGGAAACTTTCAACAAATCTAATTTTTAAAAGTTGCAAGACAAATTTTTAAACCAATTTTCGAACAGTTTTCAAATCAATGCTTTACTCTTTGAGAAGGCACAAAGCTCAGTAGCTCTTAATCATAAAAAATGAATATACTATGTTTATGATTGTTAACTAACCTTTCTCAAATTCACAGCATTTTTTCTAGTTTCAAAGTGTTATATTTGTGTAATCATTATGCAAGACAATATTCACAAATATTACAAAACAAGAAGTTCTGTTTCAGAATGAGTCCACTTATTTAACTACTCTTAACACATCACTTTAATTCACTGTTTATCTAAACAAAACAGGTTGCTGATCATTTTAAGAATGACATAGTCTACATTCCCAAAAACCCTTTCCCTTCCTCTATTTGTGTTCCCAACAGTTTAAAAAAACAAAAAGTCTTGATATTGTTTCCTAGACATTCAACATATCACTTGCAGATGTAGTATTATGATTTGTTCCAACATTTACTCACTACATTCCTATAGCTTTACAGTGTAGACCATTTGCTTTGCTTTACAGTGTAGACCATTTGCTTTATGATTAATCATAAGTAGCCTTACCTGTACCTCTCTCTCTCTCTCTCTCTTTTTTTTTTTTCTTTTGAGACAGAGACTCGCTCTGTCTCCCAGGCTGGAGTGCAGTGGTGCGATCTCAGCTCACTGCAACCTCTGTCTCCCGAGTTCAAGCAATTCTCTTGCCTCAGTCTCCTGAGTAGACGGGATTACAGGCGCCCGCCACCACACCCAGCTAATTTTTGTATTTTTAGTAGAGACAGGGTTTCGCCAGGTTGGCCAGAGTGGGTTCGAACTCCTGACCTCTGGTGATTCACCCGCCTCGGCCTCCCCACAAGTGCTGGGATTACAGGCGTGAGCCACCGTGCCTGGTCTTTTTTTTTTTTTTAAGAGACAGGTTCTCACTGTGTTGTCCAGACAGCATATGTTGTCCAGACAAGGATTATTCACAGGTGTGATAACAGCACACTGCAACCTTGAACTCCTGAGCTCAAGCAATCCCCCTGCCTCAGCAGCCTCCCAAGTAGCGGGAAATACATGTTCATACTACCAAACCAGGCCTTACATATCCTCTCAATACATCTTATTAATAAGATAGCAAAACTTTTAAATAATAGCATTTCAAGTACAGTTCTTTTATCACTTCATCAAGACCATAAACCTTTCAAAAGCAAGGAGAGACATATTCTTATTGCACAAGTATTGTTGTTATACACATAAATGTACTTATGAAACAGCAAACTATTCATTTGGATCCAGGTATCACAATTTATAGCCAATAGAAATTATTCCCATTTTACAAGTGTGAAGAATGTAAGGACAGAGAGACTAAATAACTTAACCAAAGTCATTAAGCTAATTAGTGAAAGCTGGGAGGTCAACTCAAATCTATCCAATTCCAAAGCTAGCGCTCTACTACACCATACTGTCTCCCCCAGTTCATTCTGGATGAAAAAGGTTTAAGAACCACATGTTTCACAAGTGAACTAAAGCATACAGGAAACGTTTTTTAAAAGCATGGGCGAGTTGGGCAGAGAATACAGACACTCCTTCAGGAAAAGAAGCCCAAAACAAAGTCATCAAAATGTCTCTAACAGAACATAATACAATTTAAATTTCCTACCTTCATTCTCATTAATACACCCCTAATGAGGTGTGTAAATTGATGCAGCCCCTTGGAGAGAAACTTAATAGTATTTATTTGAAAGTTTATCCCTCTGACATAGCAATCGCATTTCTAGGAAGTTATACTATACATAAACTCAACCATAAACAACTTAAATGTCCATCAACAGAAGACTGATTTAATATACAATGGACTTTATGGAAGTATTAAAAACCAATGAGCTTGATTTGTATGTGCTAATAAGCAAAAATCAAGATATACTGTTAAATTTAAAAACAAAAAGAAGTAGAGTATGTTTGATTTCCCAGTTTTAAAAGGTAAGACATATACATACCTATAGGTACAAAGAATATTGCTAAAAGCTTTTATAGAACAGTTGCTACCTCTGATATATTAAGATTAGTAAGCTGTGCGAAGAAGCTTTTAAATTCTCATTTTATATTATTCTGCACACTCTGAATGTTTTAGAATGTAACAAATGAGTCTAAAACATTTATTAGGACATTTTGAAAGGAATGAACTTACCCATGAACTGCTTCAGTATATTATTTTTAAAGGATAGGGCAGAAAATTACACATTCTGAATTTCAAATAAAAGATGATCAATTAAAAATGAATACCATCAAGTATTACAAAATAGGCCATGCATCACAGTGGTGCTCATACAAAGAATGGGCCCATTGGTCAACGCTTTGTAAAAACTGTTTCTAAATCTATTTTCCAATTTACACTTTAAATTTTAAGTTGCATTACTGAGAAGGTAAATAATATATTACCAGTTTCACTGTACACATTCTGGGTTGATCCCAGCCGTGTCTGCAGGATGCAGATTTTTTTAAATGACTGGAGTAGAAGAAAAAATCCAAGAAGATATATAACTGAAAATTACCCCTTGCCAGGTAATCAGACCAAAACACAAATTTCCTTGCTCACTTTCTGGTTCATTTCTGGCATGAATTTTTGGTGTTTGTCAGCCAAGTGTTTATGAAGCTTCAATTTCATTATTAGCTTATGATCTAACAAAATAGTAAATATGTTACACAGCCTTAGGGTATTTATCATTTCTTATGCTATCTAATGAATTTCAATTTCTTTAGAAAAGCATGCCTGGTTCTATTTTATTTTATTTTTATAGAAACCAGGTATCACTATGTTGCCCAGGCTGGTCTCAAACTCCTGGCCTCAAGCGATCCTCCTGTCTTGGCCTCCCAAAGTGCTGCGATTACAGGAGTGAGCCATCATGCCCAACCGTGGTTATATTTTAATTGCCTGCATCAAATGAATATAAAAACCCTTTTATAACTCCCAAAGCTTGCTGTGGGGAAATTCTGTCTTATGCCTCAGTTAACTGCTTGAGAATTCTTAAAATTTACTTTACTGTGCCTAGAAATACTACTCAACTTTCACATTTCTTCAGCTATCCTAAAGAACAAATCTAAATTCCTTAAGACTTCCATTCAATCCACCTCAATTTCATAATATTAACATGGGAAAAAACATAACCTACTCTTAAGCCAAGTAAATACTAAAAATTTAAGAACTGGGATTAATTACAGGTTATTTCATAAAGGAGTATAAAATATTTCATTGATATACCTCTAGATTTTGTGTCCATTAAGTTTATACTTACAAGGGGGTGGCATGTAATGTCGACATGATGAGAGAGAGGGCTGTGGAGGGGGCTGGGGCTGGGGCTGCGCAACCATGCTTGATCCATAGCCATCCATTGATGATAAAGGTTGACTTGGTGCAGCAGCAGCCTGATGGCCAAAGATTGCGGCTCGGGAGGAAGAAACAGGGCAGCAGGGGTCAAATGCAGATGCTCCATGAAAACTGCCACTTCCATGACTTCTGATACCATTGTTGCTCAGGTCTACTGGCAATGCCTGCTATATAAAAAGAAAGTATATTTTATCTTTCTAAAGTTTGGTCAAATGTTTCATGTTATATTGTAAAAGTATTCCTAACACAAACGAAAAAATATAATCTTTAAATTAGTTTGAAAACAGTAAGATTCTTAGTGTGAAGAACTAGTGAGCACCAACAAAATACTTGGTTATCTTGTATTTATCAAGTGTATCTTGGATTGTGAAAATTGTAGTGGTTTTATAGTTAAACCAATTTTTAAAAATCAAGCATAAGATTTTATCACAAGATGAACAAAAGCTTAATAAAGTCTTTTTGTCTTATAACAAATACATCTTAGAAACTTTAAAATCATACTTCCATATTCTCCTTTATCCCAACATTATGACTAGTACTTTAGGATTCCTTGAGAAATCTATCTCTAGTACTATCACACTAGAGAAAATAGTAAGGTTCTAGGAAAAATCTTGTCTGCCCCAAGTTCCAAACTGTACAAAGTAAGAATTCAACTAAAACTCTAATAAACAAATCTACATTATTCAAAATAACAATGGACATAAGATTTTTCAGACTAAATTATGAATTACCTTTGCCACTTAAAGCTTTCAATTGTTCAAAAAAATAAGAATAAAAAAAGTTAAACCACTGCTTCCTTTTATAGACACATTTATTGCATTTTATAGGCACATTTAGTGCTTTGCAGATGTTCAGGGTTTTTTGTTTTGTTTTGAACAAACTGAAGGTTTGTGGCAACACTGTGTCAAGCAAATCTATCAGAGTTATTTTTCCAACAGCATGTGGAAATTCTGTGTCTATCACATTTTGGTAATTCTCATAATATTTATATTTTTCTCATTATTTTACCTGTTACGGTGATAGTCATTGATGTTACTATGATCACTGCTTTGGGCACCAAGAACTGTGCCCATATAAGACAACAAATTTAACAGATAAACATGTGTGTCCTGACCAGATGTTTCCCCGTTACCCTCCTCTCCTCTCTTCGGGCCTCCTTATTCCCTGAGACACAACAACACTGAAATTAGGCCAATTAATGGCCTCTAAGCATTCAGGTGAAAGGAAGATTTGCACATATTTCATTTTAAATCAAAACAGAGAAATGATCAAGCTTAGTGAGGAAGGCATGTCAAAAGCCGAGATAGGCCAAAAGCTAGGCCTCTTGCACCAGTTAGCCAAGTAATGAATGCAAAGGAAAAATGCTTGAAAGAAACTGAAAGTACTCCAGTGAACACACAAATGATAAGAAAGTGAAACAGCCTTATTGCTGATCTAAAGAAAGCTTCAGTGATCTAGATGGAAGATCAAACCAGCTACAACATTCTCTTAAGCCAAAGCCTAAACCAGAGCAAGGCCCTAACTCTTCAATTCTATGAAGGCGGAGGGAGGCAACGAGGCTGCAGAAGAAAAGTTTGAAGATAGCAGAGGTCAGTTCATGAAATTGAAGGAAATAAGCTATCTCTATAAGATAAAAGTGCAAGGTGAAGCAGCAAATGCTGATGTAGAAGCTGCAGTAAGTTATCCAGAAAATCTAGCTAAGATCATTTATGGAAAGGGCTACAATGAATAACAGATTTTCCATGTAGACAAAACAGCCTAATATTGGAAGACGTCATCCAGGACTTTCATAGCTAAAGAGAAGTCAATGGCTGGCTTCAAAGTTTCCAAGGACTGGATGATTCCTGTTAGGGTCTAATGTACTTGATGGACTTAAAATCCAACGCTCATTTACAATTCCAGAATTCCCAGGGCCCTTTAGAGTTAGGCTAAATCTATTCTGCCTGTGCTGCAGTAACAAACAACAAAGCCTAGATGACAGTACATCTATTTACGTGGTTTACTGAATACTTTAAGAATACTGTTGAGACCCACTACTAAGAAAAAAAGATTCCTTTCAAAATGTTACTGCTTGGCAAAAGTGAGACCTTTTCTCAAAAAAGAAAAAAGAAAATTGCTGTTTATTGACAATGCACAGTCACCCAAGAGCTCTGATGATGTATAAGAAGATTAATGTTTTCATAGCTGCTAACACAACATCCAGTCTGCAGACTATGAATCAAGGAGTAATTTCAACTTTCAAGTCTTATTATTAAAGAAATACATTTCATAAGGCTACAGCTGCCATAATAATTCCTCTGATCAATCTGGGCAAAAGTAAATTGAAAACCTTACAGAAAGGAGTCACCATTCTAGATGTCATTAAGAACATTTGTGGTTCATGGAAGGCAGTCAAAATACCAACATTAATAATTTGGAAGAAGTGGATTCCAAGCCTCATGCATACTTGGAGGGGTTCAAGACTTCAGTGGATCTTCGAAGTAACTGCAGATGTTGTGAAGACAGCAAGAAAACTAGAATAAGAAGTTGGACCCTGAAGATGTGACTGAATTGCTGCAACTCATGATAAAAGTTGAATGAGTTGCTTCTGACAGAGAGCAAAGAAAGTAGCTTCTTTCTTTTATTTATTTTATATATATTTTTGGAGACGGTGTCTCACTCTATTGCCCAGCCTGGTGTACAGTAGGGAAATCTTCGCTCACTGCAACCTCCGCCTCCCAGGTTCAGGTGATTATCTGGCCTCAGCCTCGCGAGCAGCTGGGATTACACGTGCGTATCACCACACCCGGCTAATTTTTGTATTTTTAGTACACACAGGGTTTCACCATGTTGGCCAGGCTGGTCTTGAACTGCTGACCTCATGTGATCTACCTGCCTCACCCTCCCAAAGTGACGGGATTACAGAAGTGAGCCACTGCACCCGGTCTCTTTTACTTTTTTTGAGACAAGGTCTCACTGCGTTGCCTACACTGGAGTGCAGTGATACAAACAGGGCTCACTGCAGCCTCCACCTACCCAGCTCAAGCAATCCTCCCAACTTCAGCCTCCCAAGTAGTTGGGACCACAGGCGCATGCCACTGCACCCAGCTAATTTTTAAATTTTTTGTAGACACAGAGTCTTGCCATGTTGCCCAGACTGGTCTTTAACTCCTCCCACCTCAGCCCCACAAAGCGTTGGGAACAAACGCATGAGCCACCATGTCTGGCTGGAAGTGGTTTTTTTTCTTTTTTTTTTTTCTTTTTAACAAAAAAATTGCAGGCCCCCAGAGACAGCATTTTAAAAAATAAAAAGAAAAGAAAAAACCTACAGCAAAAGTGGTTTTTTGAGATAGAATCTACTCCTGGTAAAGATACTGGGAACAAGACGGAAATGACAGCAAAAGATTTAGAATATCACACAAACTTAACGTATTACATTAGTACATTACATAAACTTAAAGCAGTTGCAGACTTTAAAAGGATTGATTCCAATTCTGAAACAAGTTCTACGGGTAAAATGCCACTAAACAGCATCATGTGCTACAGAGAAATCTTTCACGAAAGGAAGAGTCAATCAATGCAGCAAACTTCACTGTTATCTTACTTCAAGAAATTGCCACAGCCCCCCAATCTTTAGGTGCCACCACTCTCATCAGTCATAGCCATCAACATTAAGGCAAGACCCTCCATCAGCAAAAAGTTTACAATTTGCTGAAGTCTCAGAGGATTGCTGGCATTTTTAAAAAATGTATTAGCAATAAAGTATTTTTAAATTGAATTATTTTTAAACTGAAATATGTATAATAAGGTATTTTTAAACTGAAGTATTTTTAAATTGAAATATGTACATTTTTTAAACATAATGCCACTGTGAGGTGGACTTAGTACAGTGTAAACATTAAATTTTACATGTACTGGGAAACCAAAAAATACATGTGACTTGCTTTACTGCAGCATTCACTTTATTGTATTTATTGTGGTTGTCTGGAACCAAACCTGCAGTATCTCCAAGGTATGTTTGTATTAGGCATATGATTTTAGAGAAAGCCCACTAAGTTGGGAAATAAACCAGAGGGTAGATTCCATTTCCACTCATCAAGTAATATTTTCCTCCAGAAGTTTTTTATTATTTTTTTTTTTTGAGACAGGATCTCTGTTACCCAGGCTGGAGGGCAATGGCGCAATCTTGGCTCACTGCAACCTCCACCTCCTAGGCTCAAGCGATTCTCCTACCTCAGTCACCCACAAGAAGCTAGGACTAAAGGCAAGAGACCCCACGCCCAGCTAATTTTTGTTTTTTTGTTTCATTTTGTTAGAGATGAGGTTTCACCATGTTGCACAGGGTGTTCTCGAACTCCTGTGGTCAAGCGATCCACTCGTCTCAGCCTCCCAAGGTGCTAGGATTACAGGCATAAGCCACTGCGCACTGCCTTCCAAAAGCATTTGGAAAAATCCTAAGTAAAATGCTTTCACTTCTAATCTAGAACAAAGGCAAGAATCACTTCTTTGTTTTTTTTTTGAGACGGAGTCTTGCCCTGTCCACCCCCAGCCTGTGGAGTGCAGTGGCGCAATCTTGGCTCACTGCAAACTCTGCTGCCCGGGTTCACACCATTCCCTGCCTCAGCCCTCCCGGTGCCCGCCACCATTCCCCAGGCTAATTTTTTTGTATTTTTAGTACAGCGGGGTTCACCCGGTTAGCCAGGATGGTCTCGACCTCCTGACCTTGTGATCCGCCTGCCTCAGCCTCCCAAAGTGCTGGGATTACAGGCATGAGCCCACCGCACCCGGCCACTTCTTCGTATTCTTAAATACAAACCTACTGCTTAGGTCATTGGAACCATACTTTTCAAAATGTGATTAAAAATCATAAAAGATCTGATGTTATATTACCGCATTATACACAGGAACTGTTCGAATACTGGAAGCTGAGGGGCTCGAGATGATAAAACCTAGGGTAATGCATTTGTCAAGGCCCAAGTCACTTCAGCTGTCCTCAGAGGAACCACAGTAGTTTTTAGTTTCAGTGAGCTCTAGGCTCAGGGGAATAATAGAAAAAAAGGAACTCTGGGTGCTGAAAGGAAAGGGAGTGATGATACAGAAGCTGGGAAAGAGAAAAGGAGGAGCTCTTTTTTTGTATTATTTATCTACCAATCAGCATATAATCTGTTTCTCCCTGTTGAATTAGCAAATGCAATGTATGTCTTCAATTCAGGTAAATAAGTTTAAGAATAATGTTTTAGAGGGAATTTAGGTTTATGGTTCCAATCCTTTCCCTACTATTTAGACTAAAATTAAAATTAGATGTGGAGGCTAGCAAACAAACCATTCTATGAACGGTGAGCCACATTTAATCTTACTTCATTGCTCCAGTCAGTGATTAAGAACATTCCCCAGAGTAAAGTAAATTCCTAGAAAGAAACTGAGGGTAACATTAGAGAATAAAGAAAAAAACAGTAATGAGAACCCTCTTCTTCACAATTCCAACAGTTCATTAAATCTTATTCTCGAAAGACAATCAAGGGTAAGCAAGATGAGTATAGTGATGGGACATAATAATTGGCTTACGTAGATTATAAAGACACATCCCCACTAATAAACTACTAGGCACGGTGGTACATGCCTGTAGTCCGGCTAATTGGAAGTCTGGGGCAGAGGATTACTTGAGCCCAGGAATTTAGGACAGCCTGGAGACACAAGGCAAGACCCTCTCTAAAAACAAAAAACAAAACAAAACAAAAAGCAGGAGGTGGGTGGGTGAGTTGGTGGGGTGTGGAGGGTGGGGTCAGGGATGTAAAAAGCCATATCATATCAAAGAAGCAGTGAGGATTATCTACATGACTATTGCATCTTCTCGGTCTGTACGGTCTATTTTTCTTGACTATGCACCAATCTGGCACTCAATCATAAGATATCTACAAATCACAAATCTCAGGTTTTGTTGCTCTCTGCTCCTCTACTTTCTGCTGTGCCCAAATAGGTCTAAAGAAGGGACTATATGAGGTTATTTTATGAGCATGTGATTAATTTAAGATGCCCTACAACATTGATAGAGTCTGTTGTCTTCAAAATCTCACTCTTTTACCTGTCAAAACCCATTATCACCACCGAATGCCTGGGATCCTGCTGTTCTCTCTTCAAGTTTTTTTTTTTTTTTTTTTTAAATTTATTTATATTATTATATACTTTAAGTGTAGGGTACATGTGCATAACGTGCAGGTTTGTTACATATGTATACTTGGCCATGTGTGTGTGCTGCACCCATCAACTCGTCATTTACATCAGGTATAACTCCCAATGCAATCCCTCCCCCTCCTCCCCATGACAGGCCCCGGTGTGTGATGTTCCCCTTCCTGAGTCCAAGTGATCTCATTGTTCAGTCCCACCTATGAGTGAGAACATGGCGGTGTTTGGTTTTCTCTTGTGATAGTTTGCTAAGAATGATGGTTTCCAGCTGCATCCATGTCCCCTACAAAGGACCACCAAACCTCATCCTTTTTTATGGCTGCATAGTATTCCATGGTGTATATGTGCCACATTCTTCTCAAGTTTTGTTTGCAGTCCAAATACTTCTACTAATACTTATAGATGGGTAAATGGGTTATATTTATTTTACACCAAACAGAACTGTAAAAGAGATCCTACCTATAATTAACTCAAGCTGAAATAAAACATTGTATACATAATTGATGTCTCAAACTAGCTGTATTATTTTATTAATAACAAAATATTCTGCAAATGAGACTTTTGGCAGCTCTTTAATGTAGGAAAAGCTGGTAGACCCACCTCTTCACCATTTTCCTACAATACTTATGAAGCATTTTGTAACCAAATTATAGCAAAAGAAAGTTATACTTTCAAGCAGATCCTTTCCTTCAATCCACTGGAAAATTTTTCTTGATGCTCCCTCATTCCCAAGAGACAGGACAGATCTGGACCATCCGTTAATACCCAGAAATGTTACCAAAACCGAAGTAACATCTAAAATCTCTTTAATTATATTTTCTACTCAATTCAAACTTCCTCTTGATAATAGCAGCTATATTTTTAAAGAGAATACCTATCCTTTTTTTTTTTTTTTTTTTTTGAGACAGAGTTTTGCTTTTGTTGCCCAGGCTGGAGTGCAATGGTGTGATCTCAGCTCACTGCAACCTCCACCTCCCAGGTTCAAGCGATTCTCCTGACTCAGCCTCCCGAATACCTGGGATTACAGGCATGTGCCACCACGCCCGGCTAATTTTTGTATTTTTAGTAGACATGGGGTTTCACCATGTTGGTCAGACTGCTCTCGAACTCCTGATCTCGTGATCCACCCACTTTGGCCTCCCAGAGTGCTGGGATTACAGGCATGAGCCACTGCGCCCAGCCCTTATTAATTATTTTTAATCCGTCAGACCCAGAAGACATACCATCAAAATTTTAAAAGATGAGGCAAGTACTTTAAGAAAGGTCAGGTGACATAGAAAAGCAGTAGCTTGGCCGGGCACGGTGGCTTAATGCCTGTAATCCTAGGCAAGAAGAGTGAGATTCCGTTTCAAAAAAACAAAAACAAAACAAAAAACAACAACTTCGCAGTCTTGCTCTGTTGCCCAGGCTGGAGTGCAGTGGCGTTATCTTGGCTCACTGCAACCTCCACCTCTAAGGTTAAAGTGATTCTCCTGCCTCAGCCTTCCAAGTAGCTAGGACTACAGGTACACACCACCACACCCAGTTAATTTTTGTATTTTTAGTAGAAACGGGGTTTCACCATGTTGGCCAGGCTGGTCTTGAACTCCTGACCTCAGGTGATCCACTTGCCTTGGCCTCCCAAAGTGCTGGGATTACAGGCGTGAGCCACCATGCCGGCCTCTTTGACTTTTTTTGCAGCACTTTTTTCCTGGAATATTATATGTCAAAATTACAACTTTTCTCTGAAATTACATTTTTTGTTTTGTTTTGTTATTTATTTGTTTTTGTTTTTTTTTTTTTGAGATGGCATCTCACTCTGTCGCCCAGGCTGGAGTGCAATGGTGTGATCTTGGCTCACTGCAACCTCCATCTCCCGGGTTCAAGCGATTCTCCTTCCTCAGCCTCCCGATTTGCAACACCCACACTTGTATTACAATCGTACATGGAAGTGACATAACAAAAGTTAAAGGAGCATGGAACATTTGACTTCTTTTACTCCATGTGATCGCCAATACTAACTTAATATTATTTGACATTTTGCGAACTCACTAATAATACCAACTAATTTAATTATAATTTTTTGCTGACATTTTGATTCTCCATAAACTGAAAACCTCATCTGCTCCTGAGAAAACATGCTACAGGTCTGCATGTGAGAAGGCTGTTTATTTCTAGATGAGTGAAGGTTATAGTGAACTCTAGAGTAGGAGGTAAAAGGGGAAAAACTGGGAGAATTTTCCAATTTTTCATGAATTAGCCTAACACTAGAGTTTCAACAATTTGTTTAAAGTAAGATCCCAAAGATCAGATTCAACTGTATTTAACAAAAACATCAAAAACCATTCCAGAATTTAAAAAAAATAGTGATTTTTAGATTATGTATCAGTTTTGATTACCTACATCCCTGGTCCGTTCAATTAGTTGTAATAATTCAGTCCATCTGAAAATCCCAGAGACTTAATTAAAAAGAAATCACAGACCACAAAATTAGGCCATTTTTGAATGTAAGAATGTGACTAATTCAGTGTATAAAATCTATCCCTAGGGGTTTTTTCTCCTCCTGAAGCCACCACAACTAAAAAAGAAAGGTGGGTTGGTTTTAACTCAAGTAATTACTACCTCATGCTGGGTTTTCCAGTCATCTAAAACAGGAAGAAGGGGAAGGGAAAGAAGAAAGGAAAGGGAGGGAACGAAGGGGAAGATGAAAGGGAAGAGAGGGAAGGAAGGAGAGAAAGAGAGGGAAGGAAGGAGGGAAAGAGAGAAAGGAAACAGAGGAAGAAGGGGAAGGAGTTAAAAAAAAAAGAGGAACGGAGGGAGGGAGGGAAGAAAGCAGGGAGAGAAATGCAGGGAGGGAAGAGAGACAGGAATGAGGCAAGAGGGAGGGAGAGAAAAGGGAGAAGGAGAGAGAAAGAGAAATGGGAGGCAAGAGGGAGAGTCAAGGGAGGCAGGAAAGAAAGACAAATTCCACATACCTGTTCATGATAGCTGGTACCAGAACTACTATTTGCTCCACAAGGTGCTTGTACTTGTGGAGGTCTTTCCACAGGGCAAGCAGGATCACTAAAGGAGGGAGAAACTGGGACAGCTGGGTGGGGAGTATGGTGGTGGTGGTGATGATGTTGAAAATGGTGACCATGCTGCTGAAAGCAACTTGTATGAGGATGTCCTAATGCATGGTGGTTCTGTGACGACCCTCCACATGGTGAGTGCTGAGGACAGCAGGAAGGTAACCTTGGCATTGCAGGAGGGCCAGTTTCCGTTACAGCACTAGATGTAGTTCTCCTTGAGTCATCTTGAAACAGAAAAAAATGCACAGAATAATCAAATCATGAAATATCACTGTGTAAAAAAATAAGTATGGGGTATAAATAATTAATAAATGTTTAAAGAAATGTTTAGTAAATTCAAATCTCCGTAAATAATGTGATAGTGCCACATTCTTTTTTTTTTGAGACGGAGTCTCACTCTTGTTGCCCAGGTTGGAGTGCAATGGTGCCATCTCGGCTCAGCAAAACCTCCGTCTGGGTTCAAGCGATTCTCCTCCCTTAGCCTCCTGAGTAGCTGGAATTACATGCATACGCCTCCAGACCCGGCTAATTTTGTATTTTTAGTACAGATGGGGTTTCTCCATGTTGGTCAGGCCGGTCTTGAACTCCCAACCTCAGGTGATCCACCCGCCTTGGCCTCCCAAAGTGCTGGGATTACAGGCATGAGCCACCACGCCCAGCCAATAGTGCCACATTCTTAACATATACATCATATGATTTTAGGTAGTGGTCTTCATTGGGATTTTCCTGAAACTAAATTTTTCAGGAGGCTCATATTTACTGTGATGTGTAAGTATGGCAATAGATCATGTTTTCCTAGGGCGTAACAAATGATTTCTTACAAGTAAAATTGCATTTTAAAAGTTTAAAAATACCACGAGTCCTTCCACTATATGCTACAAAGCAAATGCTCTTCCCCTGAGCTCCATGAACCCCTAACATCATAAATCATTCCTAAATAATGCAGACAGCCATGTACTTCTTAAAATCTCACCTTCTTAAGACACAGCCACCCAAGTCAGAGTGTACCTGGCTGAGTCTCTCTATCCGCCAACCTTTTTTTTTTTTTTGAAAGACTGGGTCTCACTCTGTCACCCAGGCTGGAGTACAGTGGCTCGATCTTGGCTCACTGCAACCTCCACCTCCCAGGCTCAACAGGTTCTCCTGCCTCAGCCTCCTAAGTAGCTGGGGCCATAGCCACAAAGCACCATGCCCAGCTAATTTTTGTATTTTTTTGTAGAGATGAGATTTTGCCACATTGCCCAGGCTGGCCTCGAGCTCCTTCCTGAGCTCAGGTGATCCGCCCACCGTGGCATCCCAAAGTGCTTAGATTACAGGCGTAAGCCACCATGTCTGGACCAGAATCCTTTTTCCTTCCTTTTGATGCTATACAATAGAATATAAGAAATGATCAGACTCTAATACTTGGAAAATAAAATGTGCTTTATAATAATCTAGTGACTTAGTGTCACATCGTGGTGAAAGAAGCATGGAGTCAAATGAATCTGGGTTCTCATCTGGGACCTTTCTTTAGCAACGTGACCTTAGAAAAGTTATTTAATCTCCTTTTCATCTATAAAATGTGGTAATAAAATTGCCTTGCACGGTTGTTAGAAGATACACGTCTTGATATAAAACACGAGTCCTGATTATGCTCTCTGCCACATGCCCAGTTATTTTGAAGGTATGTTCTTCTATGACAGAAGAACTGCAAAAGTATCCCCTGAAAGTCTGTGTCAGTGTTTCAAACTCATTTAAAACCCAAAAACTTTTCCTCAAACTAAATATTATATGGAAACTATATAAAAGAGATTTTAAAAAACTGAAGCCTCTGATTAAATTATAAGAGTGAAGAGCCTAAAGCCAAATCCTTGCCCTGCTGCCACCCTTAAACCCCCACTCTGATTCTGAGGCATCTCCTCAGAATCCTTAGAATTCTGGAACATTACTGTCCTAGCCTTGATTTTGGAGTACCCAAGAGTAGGGATACCTTGCTCCTATGTGGCTCAAAGTACCTAGCTAATCTCTTCTGGGCCAATATATCAATTAGGAATCTTCTGCTTATTTACAAATAAAATAAAAATCCAACCAAAACAGCTTAAACAATAAAGGGAATTATGGGCTCACATAAATGAACCCGGGTAGGGGGGTGCTTCAGACTGCTTGATAAGATTCCAGCAAATTTCCCTAAAATTCTCCTGGCTCTGCCCTCTCTTACATGTCCTATCCTGCCTTTCCTGATTCTCATCTCTTCAAGGTCTGTGCTCTAACCTCTGTTACCCAGTAGCTCTAATCTAAATTTCTGTATATTCGTTTTTTCCAAGTTCCTAGTCTGGCCTATGGGGGCTAATCTCCCAACCCTTTTGTAAAGGTTCTTAACCTGGGAACTCGAATTCACGGGTCTGTGAACTTGGACGGAAGAAAAATACAAACTGTCACTAACCTCTAATTGCCCTGAGAATTATGTTAAATATTGTAATTTGTAATAATAACAAAGACAACAAATTATCTACTTTTTAAAACAAATAATAGCAGTTCCAAAGTCAGTTCTATAATTATGTTACTTTCATTCACTTGTATTCCAAATGTGTTGAATAACCTGGACAGTGTTAAAACTAGCCTATCAGGAACTGACCGTGATCAACAGTGTCTTAGGGCTATGCTGAACCCAACATTAAGTAACTGTTTCCTATAAATTACAATATGTATAGCAATTATTCATTATTACAGTAGCTTTACTTGCTACAGCATTTTCAGGGTTTTATCTTAGTCCCTATGTAAAAGTGTTATACAAGTCAATATTATTTATTGTGTATTACATCAGGAAAAAAGGTTGAAAACCTTTGAGACACTAAGCTCACTCACTGGGATACACTAAATTACCTTCATGGTTCCTTCCAACTCTGACACTGTAATTTTACAAACCAAGTTACCTGAGGATTACGTGCGACTCAAAAAGTCAGGGTATGAGTTTATAACCATCACTAAAGTGATGGATATGACACACATCTGTTCAGAAATAGCTTGTCATCTTTTACCTTTGAGCATTTTGAATATAAAAATCAGATTGAGAGAAGAGGAAGCACAATGACTATAATGTATTTAAGGCTGAACATATACTTAAGGTGTAAAATCATTAACAGTATGGCTTCAAAAAAAAGACTGACCTTTTAGCTTTACTTCCTAGGCAACAGATTTGGCTTCCAATTAAATTGTCTATTTTCCTATAGTCCAGAACCTCCTTGTTTCTCAAATAGGCTTGCATCCGAAAGTAAAGACAACCAATTAGCCTCTCATTCAAGAGTTATTACCCAAATAAAATTGCCATAAATTAGAGGTAAAATACGAAGACATACGATTCAGTAAATAAAACACTTCCTTTTCTATTATAATAAACCCATAGAGGGCCCACTAAAAATGAGACAATCATGAACCTGCATCAGGGAAATTAACTCCACAGCCCAGTGACAATAATTTAGTTAAAGTGCTTCCTAGGAGTGCCTTCAGTAACTCTAGCAAGATTACCAAGATGCAGGCATGACTTTAATCATTCATTCAACAGTCTTACACACAATAAAATCGTGGTAAAAGATCTACAAAAGGGGCCGGACTTGGTGGCTCATGTCTGTAATCCCACTTTGTGAGGCGGAGGCGGGCGGATCACGACGTCAGGAGATTGAGACCATCCTGGCTAACACGGTGAAACCCCATCTCTACTAAAAATACAAAAATTAGTCAGGCATGGTGGCGGGCGCCTGTAATCCCAGCCACTCGGGAGGCTGAGGCAGGAGAATGGTGTGAACCCGGGAGGCAGAGTTTGCAGTGAGCCGAGATGGTGCCACTGCCCTCCAGCCTGGGTGACACAGCGAGACTCCGTCTCAAAAAACAAACAAACAAGCAAACAAACAAACAAAAAGATCTACAAAAGGCACTGGATAATACAACGGTGAAAATCAAAAGTCCTGGCCTTTAACATAACTTACAGTAAGGTCTGCCTTTGCTGTTTTTATCTTTAGCAACCAGAAACTTGCTTGTACAATGTAGGTGGCTCAATAAGCGCTTTCTATATTTAAGTTAAATTCACAAGGGAAAAGCAGCATGCAATCATGTAGCTAAGTACCAAGAAGAGAAACACTTGCTCTTTGGTCCTTAAGGAGCTCATCATCAAGCATGGAGACAATTTAGGATATAAATCAACCAATATTAGAACAGAAGCACTGGGTTCTAGCATAGCATAAAACAATGCTGCCCCCAATATCTGGCAATGCCTGGAGACATTTCTGGGTGTCACAATCGGAGGGGAGGTGATGTTACTGGAATTTCGAGGCTAGAAACCAAGGATGCTGCTAAATATCCTGTAACGCACAGTCCTTCCCCACCTCCCACTGTAAGAACTATCTGGCCCAAAGTCAATAATAGTGCCAAGGTTGAGAAATCTTGGCATAAAGGCGAAAAGGAGAGGTGCCACGCCAGATTGCCTAGGTTTGAATTCTTGCTCCACTATCATATAATCTTGGATATGTTATTTCACCTGTAGAATGAGAAGAGTAATAAAATCTCCCTCATTGGTTACTGCAAAACTCAGTTATTATAGGTAAATCCACCGGCCAACATTATAGGCTCAACAAATGTTAGCTATTGTTATCCACTAGAGTGTAAGCTCTGTTAGAACAAAAATTATCTGTTTTGTTCCCACTACCTAGAACAGTGCTTGACATATAGTGTGCAATCAATAAATATGTGTTAAACAAATAAATATATAGGATATCATGTATGCATAACACAAGGACCACATGGAGAGGTCAGGCAGATAATGAGCTGTTTGTGGCACACTGAGTTTGAATTGACTGCATAATGGTCCAGGACAGATGTCCAAGAAGCAACTGGATATGAAAGTCTAAAATGGCCAGGCATGGTGGCTCACGCTTGTAATCTCAGCACTTTGGAAAGCTGAGGCAAGTGAATTGCTTGAGTCCAGGAGTTCAAGACCAGCCTGGGCAACATGGCAAAACTCTATCTCTACAAAAAATACATAAATTGACCAGATGTGGTGAAGTGTAGTCTACTTGTGGGGCTACTTGTGGGGCTGATGCAGGAGGATCACTTGAGCCTGGAAAGTGCAGCCTGCAGTGAGCCTGTACTCCAGCCTACGTGACAAAGCAAGACCTTGTCTCAAAAAAAAAAAAAAAAAAGACGTTTAAAACAAATACAGTGGTCAAAAACACAGAAGAGAGAGTCATCAGCATACTAATGATAGGTGACAACACTTACAGTAATGAAATGGCCTAGTGAGAAGGATGAGAACACAGTCCTGGGAAGAAAACGAATTATGAAAAGGAGACTATTGTCAGATTTTATAAGATCATGTTTATTCATTATGAAAGGAGTCAGAAGCCCATTAGAGGAAAGAGTTTAGTGTGACAAAAATACACTTAAATGTACATAGACATAACACAAGTGTACATGCGCATGTACTAAGGAAATGAAACCAGAGAAGATGCTGAAGACACAGGGAAGATAACTGTTGAAGCAAGGTTAAGGACAAAGGAAAGGATAAGAGGTAGAGCACAGATAAAGGAACTGGAAGGGACAGGAAGGAGTTAGGAGACTGGGAATTAGTAGAGGTCAGGTAGAGAGCCACAAAAGTTTATATGGAGGCGTTGGAAGTTGCAGGAGTTCATGCTTAAGAACTTCCATTTATTCATTTTTTAAAATTTCCCCTGGGGAATGAAAACCTTGAGGAAAAGGAGAGTGTTTTGAAATAGGCACTTAGTGGAAGGAAAGGGAACTGATCAAGATATCTGATCAAGATTTCCTATAGAAAGCCCAGGATTAGAAACCATAAATTTATGGAGGAACTTGGATAAATGTGAAGCTAGATGGCTTGAATGTGAGGGTTGGAAATATTCAAAGAGGTACAAGATAAGAACAGGTGGTGGAGAAAATAATTGAACTAATGTTCCATAGTGTCCTGGAAGGAAATGGACCTTAAGAGAGGCCCATTTAGGACTGTAGCCAAGATGCTCACAAATTAAATCTGTTTGTAAATGAACGAGGATTTACATATAAAAGTTTTCGGACTATTCTGAAATAAAGTTGGGACTGTATCACATAAAATGTATGTAAGAATAATGCTACAGACAGACCAAGTGTGGTAGCTCACACCTGTAATCCCAGCACTTCTGGAGGCTGAGGCAGGTGGATCGTTCGAGCCCAGGAGACTGAGGCCAGTGTGGGCAACATGGCAACATGGCAAAACCTCCCATCTCTACAAAATTACAAAAATTAGCCGGGCGTGGTGGTGCATGCCTGTGGTCCCCCAGCTAGTCGGGAGGATTACTTGAGCCTGGGAGGCGGAGACTGCAGTGAGCCAAGATTGCACCACTGCACACGGACCTGGGCAACAGAGTCAGACCCTGTCTCACAGAAAAAAAAAAAAAAAAGAATAATGCTACATAAAGCTATAACAGGAGACAGGCGTCAATGAGAAGTCAAATCCCTGCCTCAAAGATTATTACAGTTTTGTCAAGGTACTTAACTTCTCAGGTTTCTTCATGTCTGAAATGGTAAGAGAAATGCCAACATCAATAACTTTTTTACTTTTTGAAACAGGGTCTTGCTCTGTCAGCCGGGCTGGAGTGCAGGGGTGCCATCGAGGATCACTGCAGCCTCGACTTCTCAGGATCACATGATATACTCCTGACTCAGTCTCTGAGTAGCTGGGACTACAGGTGTGTGTCACCACGCCTCGCTAATTTCTGCAATTTTCTTTTTTTGTTTGTTTGTTTGCTTTTGTTTTCTTTTTTTCAAAGGAGACAAGGTTTCACCATGTTGTGTAGGCTGGTCTCAAACTCCTGGGCTCAAGTGATCCGCCTGCCCTGGCCTCCCAAAGAGCTGGGATTACAGGTGGGAGTCTCACCACGTCAAGGATTTTTTTTTTTTTAAGAGTTAAAATATATACAATATCATATAAGATACCCAAGTAACAAGCTAAGTGAAGAGTATGTACTCAACAAATGAAATAAAAGCCCATTTCATTTCTGCCTACATTTTTTCAGAGAATGTACTTAAAAGACACCCCTACTGGGCACAGAGGTTCACACCTGTAGTCCTAGCTACTTGGGAGGCTGAGGGAGGAGGATCACCTGAGCCTGGAACTTCAAGACTAGCCTGGGCCAAAAAACCAAAAAAGACACTCCTGGGAAATCTCTTTGAGAATGTTTCTTAGTTCTGCCCTCAGTTTTCCAGAGGAGAGAGTAATTCCTGATCCAGCCACACGTAGTTTTCTAATCTGTTAGATGTAAATTACATGAATATTAAAAGAATTAAATGAGACACTATTAAAAGCAAAAAGTGATAGAAAATATAAGACGGTTTCATTATTAATGGTGATTTAGTCAATCCACAAGCTACAGGGTCTAAAGTGTCCCTAGTGGTAAGCAGTTAGCAAGTTCCTATCTCTGTACCATTATCCAAAAATGAAACAAAGCTAGTTTAAGTCTCAGTTAAACAAATGATATGAGAGAGAGCCAGAGATATCATTGCTAATTGAAACATAAGAACTATCTTGAGATAAGAGCTAAAACTATAAAGAAAACTCCAGAATAAATATTTGTAACCCTGGATTAGGCAATGGTTTCTTAGATATGACACCAAAAGAAACAACAATAACCAAAAAACCCCAGAAAATGGACATCATCAAAATTTTAAAAACTCCCATGCTCATTCTCAATTATTTTGGGAAGATACCTAAGGAGTGGACTTAGTGCATCCAACGGTAACTCCATTTAACTTTCTGAGGAACCATCAAAGTGTTTTCCTCAGCAGCTGCACCATTTTGCATTCCTACCAGCAATTCACAAGGGTTCCAATTTCTCTGCGTCCTTGCCAAGACTGGTGATTTTGTATTTTTGTTTGTGTTGTAATTATAGACACACTAGTGGGGTGCAAAGTGGTATCTCATTGGGGTTTTCATTTGCATTTCCCTAACGATTAGTGATGTTGAGCACCTTGTGCTTCTCGGTCATTTGTATAACTTCTTCAGAAATATCTATTCAAATCCTGCCTCACTTTAAAATTGGGTTGTCTTTCTGTTAGGCTGGGGCTTTTTGTTTGTTTTTACTTTTTATTTTTTAAATATAAATAGAGATAGGGTTTCACCATGTTGGCCAGGCTGGTCTCGAACTCCTGTCCTCAAGTGATCCTCCTGCCTCAACCTCCCAAATACTGGAATTACAAGCATAAGCCACCACACCCAGCCTGTTGGGCTGTTTTAAGAGTGCTTTGTAGATTCTGGTTTCTAAAGTGCTTATCAGATATAGGATTTGCAATATTTTTCTTTCCCCCATTCTGTAGGCTGTCTTTCACTATCTTGATAGCGTCCTTTAGTACACGAAAGTTTTAAATTTTGATGAAGTTCAACTTATCTACTTTTGGTTTTGTTGTTTATGCTTTTGGTGTCAGCCACTTACTTCTCCCCAAGCTCTCTTATTTGAGGTATAATACTCTGGTCACATATAGCATACAAACTCAAATAAGAAATCAGCCTAATTACAGTAAAGACTACCTTGATAACATACAAAGTTTACTATAACATAAGAATACCCGCTTATTAACATAGCTAAAATCTTAGACTTAAAAACAATAATATTTTCCCTAACAAAAGTAATGACAAAAAGTCTCCCCTCCCCCACTTTTTTTACATACCTCCTATAGAAGCGCCAGTGGTACTATTGCTTGTAAGAGTAGCTGAAGTCTCTGACACTGTGGAAGGTTGGCTACTGGTGACAGCTGAAGCAGTATCAGAGGCCTGCTCAGAGGTAGATGGATTTGAATTGTTAATGGAAGCGCTAGTAGCTTGTGATTCCATTCTTGCAGAAGTGGTTGGTACTACAGTAGGTTCTACAAAATACAAAACGTCAACTTAGCATTTCAAAACAAATTAGATAAAGGGTTATATTTTAATCTAAGCTAATGTGTTTATAATTATTAAATAACAAAACTTTAAAAATACAAGCTCTCTAATAACATACGGTAAAGAAAGCTTTCATAAAGCTAAACTGCAGTATCAAACTGACATGTTAACAAAATACGACTACATTTTAAAAAATTCAACACTGATACGCATATTTCAATAATTTAGGTAATTTAATAGTTTTTCAGGTAGCTTCTAAATAAGTTGTCTGATCTATAACAAAGAAGAGTAAAAGGAAAGTAAAAGTTCCTTGCTATGCACATACACATGATCACAAGCTGTCAGAATGGTGTTACAAACCATAATGTGTCTGGCACAATATGGATTCTAGGGTAAGACTGCCTGGATAGCAATACTGATTTCACCACTGACAGTATGAATATAAATAAGTTACTTAACTATTCTCCATTTCCTCATCTGTAGAACTGGGAAAGTATCAGAATTTCTTAACAGAACTGTCATTAGGATGAACTGAGATCACATACTTTGTATGATGCTTTACAGACAGCAATCACTTAACATTAGCTATGATTTCTAATATCTGTTTTAATCTTCTTTCCATGCCTTTTATATGTTTTCCAAAGAAAATTTTGTAAATATTAATATTCACCAGTGCTTTCTAATAAAAATTAACATTTTTCCATCAGAAAGTAAAAGAAATTTCAGGTAGACTTCAACTTACAAGTAAGTTTCAAAGAACTAAGTTTAAAATGGTTGCTTAAAATTGAGAACAATGGGAGTAAATCCATCCAAAGCATAGTCACAACAATTAAACCTGAAAATAAGGGAGTCTCTTAATGTGCTATGGAATGAGAGGGTTGACTTTCTATACAATACAGTATGGTAAGCTAATTCCTTAGGCACAAATAGTAACTGTGAGTCTATATGGGACACTTTGAATGAGGGTGTGTCCAAATGTATATGCAAATTGCTTGTACATAAAAAAGGGGGAAAAGAACTTCTGTTTATTTGTAAATAGTTTAACTAGTGTTTCTCAACCTTGGCAATACTAACATTTTGGGCTAGACAATATTTTGTTCGTTGGCGAGGAGATGTGCACTGTGAACTGTACAATGTTTAGCGACAACCATGGTCTCTATCAATCAGATGTCAATAGCAACCTCCCCTAACTGTGAAAACCAAAAATGTCTGCAGACATTGCCAAATATCACTTGGGGGAGAAAACTGCCCCTATTTGAGAACCACTGGTCTGATGTACTTAGTTTTGGATTTATTTTTAATAAGAGAGAAGAAGCCTTCCACTGAGAAAAACTAGTGGGGGAAAGGGAGCATCTACTGATCACTGGAATACTTTTAACCCAGCAAAGCGTAAATTCTGGTAATGTGGAAAAGGCTACTCTATCACATTCTCCTACTTACCGGCTAGCAGGTGTCACATTGGAACACAAACAGAAAGTTTCCAAAATAGTCACCCTATATTTAATTAACTCTCATCATTAATGAATCCCTATTACATTAACCACTGTCTTACAGATAACTTATGGTGTTTCAAAACAAAAACGAAGAGACTGTTGAATGAAAGGCAAACAGTTGTTTATCTCTTCATAAACAACTGAGTACTGATACTCTGAAAGTTAAGACCACCAAAACTGCAAATAGCCCATAGAAGAGCTGATTGCATATGGCCTCCAACTCTTTCGACCTACCTGATATATTCTTTGCCCAATTTACAGCTAACTCCCAAACCTAACAAACTCATATATGGCTTATCGTTTTCCTTTTGGGAAATTATGATTGACCATTTCCTAAGATATAACTAATAATACCTCAAGATGATTCTTAATATGCGGGCAAATTCGCATATGTATTCATTCATATATTCATAAATCCCACCACTTTTCCTAACGTCTGTATTCCAACTCTGGTTTTGTTTCCTCAGTTACTTGGGTACAGCTGTAAGCCAAAATACAATACAAAAAATGAGCAGCACAAAAAGGTATCAATAATATTGAAGGATAACATAACTTTTAAAAGTAAAATTAGACATTTCAAATAGCCAGTATTAGTCATTTAAAATTCAGTTATACTGCTTTTGTGTTTATATTTAAAAAGTGCTGCTTCTACTTTTTCATGGCAAGTTAAAGACAATCATATTACAAATCAAACTAAACTAGTTTGAGCTAACCTCAAACTACCATTTGTAAAAATATTTTTGCCTGAGAAAATAGCTAGCAAGTATTGAAACAATAACCACAAAGAATTTTATGTAAATTTACAAGCGTAGGATATTATATCAATTAAAAACCTGAGATTTAAAAATCTGACAATTTCCCTGTAGTTTAATAATACATTACCAGTAAGCAGAAGGGGTTTCTAGCATATTAAAAGATTTCCTTTTATCAAACTCCTTTTACAATTTTCTACTGTTACTACTTCAATTTACCATCTTCATCAACGGTAAGGTCCACAACTTCTGCTGCATTCTGCCTCAAGGGCTGTATAACAGTAGAAATCCTACTGCGGTTCCGTGGCTCCTGTGGCCGACTTGCATGAGAACTTGAACCCTGGCTCCAGTGAGATCTGGAGTGTCCAAGGGTTGAACGAGACCTTAAATGACATCAATATTAAGTTAGTAAATATAAATAAAGAATTATTAGTCACCACAAAAACCCATAAGCCTTTCTTACTAAATGTTACATTTTTCATACAAAATTTCTCCAAAGAAATAATTGTAATAGAATTAAAAATCATGACTAGCACACTGTCTGGCACTCAGTAAACTTTGCTGAATGAATCACCAACTAATTGACCTAAGAATATAAGAAATGCTATGTTGTACCAATCATTAGTGTAAAATACAGGATTCTGTTTCAAGAATGCTACTCTCTCTTCCACGGTTACTTTGGGTATTTACCCAGGTTATAATAAACTGTCTACATTTTCTGTTAATAGTTAAAATTATTCACCATAGGTAAAGGAATAAAAATAACATCCTACACATTTAATAATATCCACAAGGTCTTGTATGTTTAGCTCAGGACAGATTTGCAAAACATTGCTTTAGGAGTCCTAAACCAAGCTAAGCTTCTAGTATTGCCATAAAAGAAAACAAAATAATAATAATAATAAACAAGCACCAGGGAGATTTCCTGATGTGTAGATGTAAGGATATTCTGATTAGTTTATTAGTTTGGTAGCCACAAGAAATATCATTTGCGTGAGCTACTTTATGCTTTTAAAACATGTGACTGCGAACCCTGAACATCTAACTTCATTTAAGTATGTGTGTGGCATTACACTGGTCTAAATTTACTTACAGGTGTATATACTTTTAAGGACTCAACTACTAAAGATTTGGACTGAGGATATACAGGGATAATATGTAGAATATGCAGTCCTAAGTCTCCAGGAGAAAAAAATAACTCTTTTAGAAAGATGAGGTCAATAAAACACAAGGGCTTTCTCCTGCTCAAACTAATATAAAACTGCTTATAAGCTTATTGTCAGCATTTATGGAAAATATCTGCAATATAAAAGGTCATCGGGGGTGGGAGCTTAACCATTCAGAAGAGAACTCCAAAGGTCAAAGTGGGTTGAAAATGGCCTCAACATTTACAGCCCAACTTGAACTTCAACGATTATAGAACCTAGAGTTTAAAAAGTTCAAATTCTAAAATAAAATTCTTAAGAAGGAGTATAAAGGTTAATTACGGAGCCACTGTCAAAACAGGATAGCACATATCAGAAACAGTTGTGGTATAGCTTGAGCCATGATAGTAAACAAATGTCATGGGATAAAATGGTTTTATCTGAGGACAGATATCACCATTTAAAATTCTTGAAAAACCAAAAGTCTATGATGAGACTGAGTCGTCTATTATCTCTGGGAAGCTCTTAATAGCTGAAGGAAATTATAGGTCCACTTTGCAGTACTTCTGTGAAAGCCATCATATTCTACTAGATGGAACAACTGCAAAAAAACTGAATGTGTGAGGAAATCTCAAGGAGGTATTAGTGGCCACTATGATTAGTAACAACTGTCAAATCCTGACACAAAACTCTAAAACACAAAAATACTCTCTTACGTGAAAGAGCCAGGCCGAGCATAGGTGGCTCACGCCTGTAATCCCAGCACTTTGGGAGGCCGAGGTGGGCAGATCACAAGGTCAGGAGTTCGAGACCAGCCTGGCCAATATGGTGAAACCCCATCTCTACTAAAAATACAAAAAAAAATTAGCCAGGCATGGTGGCTCATGCCTGTAATCCCAGCTACTCATGAGGCTGAGGCAGGAGAATTGCTTGAACCTGGGAGACGGAGGCTGCGGTGAGCCAAGATGGCGCCACTGACCTCCAGCCTGGGTGACAGAGGGAGACTCCATCCCAAAAAAATAAATAAATAAGTAAAATAAACGAAAGGGCCAAAAGACAGCTAAACAATAACAAAGTTAATATCTCAGATAACAATAAGGAAATATAAGAATGGGTCATGTACACTGTGGGTCTTTTTCAAGATCATTGTCTATTACTCAGGTAAATGCATCTGCTTGACATCAACCATGTCCAAAACAAGACCTCTAGTCCTACAATGAAAAATATGTCCGTAATTTCAGTAGTCCTTACAGCTCATAAAAATTGAGTCAATGTTGTACCAAGCACTATGCACAGTCACAGGATAGGTGTGGTACCTAACACTGATTATTGGTTTTACTCAGAGTTGGGGAAAATCATATAAAATTAAAACAAACAAGGATATGTTATAGAATGCTCACTTCCATGCCTTTAGAAGTAGCACTTCGATGCTAAAATGGCAAGTGGAAAAGCATGTTCTAAGTGTTTGTAACAGATGTCAGAAATATGAATATATACTTTTAAAATCAGTAACATATTAACATGCAACAAGCTAATGCACTTCTAAATTCGTTCCAACACAAAAATTAATACTCATCTGTTTATTAGTTTGGTGTATCAAATGTAACAAAGCAACTCTTTATTGCTATTATTACGAATACTTATAATCATCTAAAGTATAAGATGAATGCTGTGTTAGGAGCTGATATTTCACAGGGAAAGTCAAAGTGATAGAAGTTGATATTTCACAGGGACAGTAAAGTGATTCTGCAATAAGGCAACGTCTTTTCCAGTTATTTATAAAAACAGATGAGGATGTTTCATTGATGTGTTAGTTCAGAGCATAGATAAAATTACTAAGTGAAGGACAAAGAGTCAAACAATAGGTTTTGAATTAGGGTGCCCTAACACAGTAACAGCACAAGTTTCACTAGTATCAATGAGTAACATATTGAAACAAGTAGATTCTAACCAAAAGGGCTATTTCAACATCAATACCCCTTAATATTTTTTTCATTTTTAATTTTAATACCATCCCAAATATTTACATACTATTCACATCTAAATTTCAAAGGAGATCAATTCTCCACATCATTAAAAAAATACAATTTGGCCGGGCGCGGTGGCTCAAGCCTGTAATCCCAGCACTTTGGGAGGCTGAGGCAGGCGGATCACAAGGTCAGGAGATCGAGACCATCCTGGCTAACACGGTGAAACTCCATCTCTACTAAAAAATACAAAAAATTAGCCGGGCGAGGTGGCGGGTGCCTGTAGTCCCAGCTACTCGGGAGGCTGAGTCAGGAGAATGGCATAAGCCCGGGAGGCGGAACTTGCAGTGAGCTGAGATCTGGCCAATGCACTCCAGCCTGGGCGACAGAGTGAGACTCCGTCTCAAAATAAATAAATAAATAAATAAATAAATAAATAAATAAATAAAATAAGATACAATTTTATAAAACACTAAGTAAAATTATTGTTTATTCAGAGCATTAACTCTTAACTCTCATTGGATACTTGGGGTGCTTTTAAAAAGACTAACCTCTAAAATTCTAGTTCAAATCTGGGAAAGAGTCTAGGCAACAATATAGCTTTATTTTATTATCTCTCCAGGTGAGTTTAACGCAGCCTGCTTTGAAAACCACAAATCTAGACGGGCTTGGTGGCATGTGCCTACAGTCCCAGTACTATGGAGAATGAGCCAAGAGAATCACTGGAGCCAAGGGGCTCAAGTCCAGCCTGGGTAACATAGCAATATTCTGTCTCTTACAAAAAAAAAAAAAAAATCCACTACTCTGATATATGCATACTCAAACTGGGTCTCAAAAAAATAAATAAAAATAATGCAAATATCTGCAGCACAAATAGGTTTAATATTTATATTTAAAATTTCAAAGATTTAATTAAGAATTAAAATCTCACCGATAGCCTTCTCCAACTGTTACAATCTCCACTTCACTATCAGTTGAGGTAACATTAATTTCTTCATTGGCAGTAACCTGGGGAGTGGAGGAAGCTTCTATCACCACAACATCTTCATCAATACTTCCTGGAAACAAAAAGAAAAAAACATTTAAAGGTATCTTCCTGTCAGCTAATTGTTAGGCAGAAATCTTTATTCTGACTTTGAAGACTATGAAATTCATTGCAAAACTAAAAACCTTATCTGTCAAAAAGCTTTTTTAAAAAAATACACAAGGAGTGAAAAACACACATAGTGAAAATGGTAATCACTGTTTTAATCTATACTCCTTTGCATGTTTACTTTCTCTTCTATGGATTTGGTGTATTCATTACAAATGTTCAGTGGTTTCTACATGAATCTGTAAGATCTTACATAGATATTTATCCTGTAATATCTGTAGTATATTATAGATCTTATATATATCATTATATAAGATATTAACCCTTCAATATCACAGAAAAAGTTATTACAGTAGCTCTGTATGTTTTTTCCAAGGTTGTTTTCATTTAGGTGATATATTATTTTAAAAAAACACACAGTAGCTTTTTAGTTTTATGTTATGAAATTTGTTATTGATTGATTGATTGACTGAGACAGTCTTTCACTCTGTCGCCCAGGCTGGAGTGCAGTGGCATGATCTCGGCTTACTGCAACCTCCTCTGCCCTCTGGGTTCAAGTGATTCTCATGCCTCAGCATCCCAAGTAGCTGGGACTACAGGCATGCATCACCACACCAGGCTAATTTTTTAGTACCGATGGGGTTTCACCATGTTGCCCAGGCTTGTCTTGAACTTCTAACCTCAAGTGATCCATCCCACTCAGGCTCCCAAAGTGCTGGGATTATAGGCGCGACCTACTGCACCCAGCCAAAATTTGTCATTTTTAAATGTGTGTTCTTTTCTAAATCATTCTAAGCTTGGAAAGTGCATCCTTATTTACAAGATGGATACATATTAAATTAGACTTGGTCCAAGTCTTTGTTTAATATTCCTTATATTACTGTTATCTAGAACTGATTTTTGTTATGACATTAGGTAAGATTATATAAATAGAATCCTGCTCTGTCTCTCCACAGCTAACTAGCTATCACCAAAACATTTATTGAAAAATATTTTCTTTTACCCCATTAATTTTTGATACCTCCTCGAATTTTCAGTTATGCAAAAGAAATACATTCTGGAAGTTTTACTGCACAACATAGGGTCTATGATTAACAATAACATATTGTATGTTTAAAAATTTGCTAAAAGGGTATATCATGTTAAGTGTTTCAACCAAAAAAGGAAATAAAGGTAAGGGGACAGGAAGAAATTTTTGGAGGCAATGGATATAAATCCATGGCATTGATTGTAATGATGGTTTTACAGGTGTTATACCGCTCTCCAAACACATCAAGTTATATACACTAACTACCTTCAAGCTTTTAGTATACTAATCATACCTCAATAATGCAGTTAAAATATTTTTTGATACTTCTCTTAAATATTATGCATATTTTAGGGTCTATTTTGAAACAATTCAACCCCTTTGACATAGAGTCTAGTGTCAGGGTAAGTCTACTTTTTAAAATAGTCTTTTTGAGGTATAACTTACATACTTTGAAATTCAACCATTTAATCTGGCCTTTTGCCAGAAACCACTATCCTCCAATAATTCACCAAGATGACAAACACAAAGGAAAAGAGAAGAGGCACCTGCAATATGTTCTCTAGGGCTTTTAGAAAATATGGAGTTGTTGCTTTGGCCACAGGCATAGGAATCCACAAGAAAAGCGATGCTGTAGACATCAAGAAAATGGCTATTGTTCATACAAAAATTAGCTGGGATTTGGCGCTCGCCTGTAATCCCAGCTACTCGGGAGACTGAAGGAGGAAAATCACTGGAACCCAGGAGGCGGAGGTTGCGCCGAGATCACACCAATGCACTCCAGCCCGGGCGACAGAGTGAGAATTCATCTCCAGAAAAAAAAGAAAAGAAAATGGCTACTGTTGGCCGGTTGTGGTGGCTTACGCCTGTAATCCCAGCACTTTGGGAGGCTGAGGTGGGCGGATCACGAGATCAGGTGTTTGAGACCAGCCGGACCAACATGGTGAAACCTCATCTCTACTAAAAGTACAAAAATTAGCCGGGCATGCTGGCATGTGCCTGTAATCCCAGCTACTCAGGAGGCAGGAGAATCACTTGAACCTGGGAGGTGGATGTTTCAGTGAGCCGAGATCGCACCACTGCACTCCAGCCTGGGTGACAGAGCGAGACCCCATCTCGAAAAAAAAAAAAAAAAGAAAGAAAAAGAAAATGGCTACTCTTCAAAAAGGAATGCCCCATAAATCTTACCATGGCAAAACTGGAAGTTACAATGTCACCCAGCATGCTGTTGGCATTGCTGTAACAAACAAAATTCTTGCCCAAAGAATTAATGTACATAATGAGCATCTAAAGCACGACAGCTGAGATGGCTTCCCAAAACACATGAAGGAAAAAGATCAGAAAAAGAAGGAAGCCAAAGAGAAAGGTACCTAGGTACAACTGCCGCACCAGCATTCTCCACCCAGAAAAGCACACTTTGTGAGAACCAATAGACAGGAGCCTGAACTGCTGGAACCTATAACCTGTAAATTCATGGCATACTAGGTGGCCAAAAAAAAAAAAAAAAATCAAAGACACCTGGACTATAAACAAAACAAAATAAAACCTGAGAGCATTATGCTAAGTGAAATAAGCCAGTCACAAAAAGACAAAAACTGTGATTCCGGTTATGTGAAGTATCTAAAGTAGTCAAATTTGTAGAAACAGACAGTAGAGTGGTGGTAACCAGGGTCAGAGGGAAGAGAAAGAGAAGTTGTATAATGGCTATAGAGTTCCAGTTTTGTAAGATGAAAAAGTTCTGGAGATGTTTCACAACAAATGTAAATACACTTTTTTTTTTTTTGGAGACAGGGTTAGGCTAGAGTTGAGAGGCACAATCACGCTCATTGCCCTCCATCTCCTGGGCTCCAGATATCCTCCTAACTCAGCCTCCTGAGTAGCTAGGACTACAGGTGCACACCACCGCACCCAGCTTTTTTTTTTTTTTTTTTTTTTTTTTAGTCTTTTAAGAGATAGTGTCTTAGTACATTTCTTAGGCTGGTCTCAAACTCCTGGGCTAAAGCAATCCTCCTCCCACCTCGGTCCCCCAAAGTGCTGAGATTACAAGTATGAGCCACTGCACCTGGTCCCAATGTGAATATACTTAACACTACTAAACTGTATGCTTAAAAATGGTTAAAATGGTTTGTTTTTTTTGTTTGTTTGTTTGTTTGAGACGGAGTCTTGCTCTGTCGCCCAGGCTGGAGTGCAGTGGATCTCAGCTCACTGCAAGCTCCGCCTCCTGGGTTTACGCCATTCTCCTGCCTCAGCCTCCCAAGTAGCTGGGACTACAGGCGCCCGCCACCACGCCCGGCTAGTTTTTTGTATTTTTTAGTAGAGACGGGGTTTCACCGTGTTAGCCAGGATGGTCTTGATCTCCTGACTTCGTGATCCGCCCGTCTCGGCCTCCCAAAGTGCTGGGATTACAGGCTTGAGCCACCCTGCCCGGCCTAAAATGGTTTTTAAAAAAGTAATACTCCATTTCTTCTCTTGCTGTGTTTTTTACAAACCTGTTACTGAATGGCTTCTTCATTACTATCACCTGTCAATACAAATGTAAGCCAACAGTTTACAAATAATGTCTATAATTAAGAATTTTCCCATAATGAGTGTAAAAAAATTCACCCACTTTAAGTGTACATTTTGCTAATTTTAGTAAATTTATGGAGTGTAATCATCACCACAATCCAGTTTAAGAACATTTCCAATAACCCCAAAAGAGCTTGCATGTCCTGTTTCAGTCAATCATCATCCCCTATACCAACTTCAATACCCCTGCAACAACTGATCTGCTCTCTGTCATTACGAATTAGTTTGTATTTTGTCAAGTTTTATGTTAAGTAGAGTCACACATTACATACACGTTTGGCTCCTTTCACTCAGCATATTTATCTTGAAATATATTCATTTGTTGTATCAATATTTGTTCTTTTTTTATTGCAGAGTAGTATCCAATCATATGGATATAACACACTTCGTTTATCCATTCATCCACTGATGGACATTTGGGTTTTTCTCAGTTTTTGCATATTACAAATAAAGCAGCTATGAACATTCATGTATAAGTCTTTGTACAAACATGTGCTTTCATTTCTCTTAGGCAAATACTTAGGAATGTAATTTCTAGGTCCTATGGTAAGTTTGTTTAACTTTTAAGGAACTGCCAAATTGTTTCCCTAAGTGGCTCTACAATTTTACATTCCCAGTACAGAAATGAAGGTTTTAGGTTCTCCACATCCTCACCAATACCTATTATTGTCTCTTTTTCATTAAACTTGTTCCAGTGGCTATACAGTGGTATCTCATTGTGGTTTTAATAACCATTTCTAAAATAAGAAGGCTAAGTACAAGGGCTCACGCCTATAATCCCAACACTTTGGGAGACCGAGGCAGGCAGATTGCTAGAGCAAAGGAGTTCAATCCAGCCTGAGTAACATGGTGAAACCCTGTCTCTACAAAAAATAGAAAAATTTCCTGGGCATGGTAGCCTGTAGTCCCAGATACTCAGGAGACTGAGGTAGGAAGACAGCTTGAGCCTGGGAAACAGAGGCTGCAGTGAGCCGAGATGGCACCACCGCACTCCAGCCTGGGCAACAGAGCCAGACCTTGTCTCAAAACATAATAATAATTTAAGCCGGGCGCGGTGGCTCACGCCTGTAATCCCAGCACTTTGGGAGGCCGAGGCGGGTGGATCACAAGGTCAGGAGATCGAGACCACGGTGAAACCCCATCTCTACTAAAAATACAAAAAAATTAGCTGGGCACGGTGCCGGCGCCCGGAAGCCCAGCTACTCAGGAGGCTGAGGCGGGAGAATGGCGTAAACCCGGGAGGCGGAGCTTGCAGTGAGCTGAGATCTGGCCACTGCACTCCAGCCTGGGGGACAGAGCAAGACTCCGTCTCAAAAAAAAAAAAAAAAAAAAAAATAATAATAATAATAATTAAAAAAAAAAAACAAAAA